AGCCCATTCCGAAAGCCATGGGCGTGACGAAGGCCTGACACCATGGCGCAGGATATTAGAAATGCTCTCTACTGCAATTTGTAAGATTCATGTTTGTCTGGTTGCCTTTGTTCATGAGACCTACCGGTTGCAAGACTTCACAACAGACGCAAACTCTCGCCTGAAACCCTAGCTTCGCATCGAGTAGCTTGTGATTATGCTCGATGAACATCTATATGCCACATTTTTGCCCGCACTCGGTGTGGGGTTGCTAGATTTTAAACTAATTAAACTCTTCTCCTCGCCCGGTCTAGTCCTCGCTCATCGCCCGTATCCCAACCCAGAGTATGCCTCAGGACAAAATGTGCCTTCCGATTTAGTCGAAGTCGCCAGTGTGCGATCGTAGGAGCAATCATAGGAGCAGTACTGCGTGCTGAAAACGGAATCGCATCCATGTGGGTAGTTCTCTAAGTTAGGGTCCCTGTTTTGGATCCCACGTATAGTACAGAAACCTTGTAAACAAAGACCCCAGCAGGAACCCTAATTTAGAGAACTACCCATGTACTTTGTGAAAGGATGTGAAAGGTAACCCATACTGCCAGCTACCGACGAGTCGGGGCTCAAGAGGCAACACAATGCAGTTTCGCATCACACATTAAACTGGGATTTCGTGTCTTTGTGCACGGCTTGTTCGAGGTTTCCTGTAGCTGCACATGTACAGAATCATCCAGATGATACTGAACTCCACGTCAAATCGTCGTTTCACTTTCGTCCCTGAGTAGCCGCGGTCATTTCACCTTCGTCCCTGAAACCTTGCGAGGCCGCAGAGGTCGTCAGTCCTCCGCATGAGGCGGCTGACTCACGGGAATCGTGCAAGTGCTGCGGCTTCTGTGAACACCCACATACTTTGTCGAGGCATGCTACGCCACCTCGTACCTCTGCTTGTTTGAGGCCTTGAAGCTGTACACTTGTGCCAGTGAAGACCCAGTGAAAGCAGTTGGCTGCCAGATGCCGTCAGATGCCGTCAGTTCATGTGTTCCTGCAGGCCATCAGTCCGTACATGTGGTCATACATGGGCATTGCGATTGCGCTGGGCATCTCAGTTCTAGGCCAGGAAGCCGGCCTGTTTTTTTGCAGATCCTGCGTGAAATTATGCGCAAATTGTGCAAATTTGAGCAATTGAAACGACAGTTCTTGAGTGAAGGTGCGGCATGGGGCATCTTCTTGACTGGGTCAAGCATCGTGGGCGCAGGGATCAAGGCGCCACGGATTAGCACCTCATCCGAGAGGAATTCGGGGAATTGGGGCTTATGCACAAAGGGCGCCAGGTGATTGAAGAAGCATCGACATGAATGGCATCTCAGGCTCCAAGAACTTGGTTAGCATCATTTTCTGCGAAGCCGTGGCTATCTATGGCGCAATTCGTCTGCAGCAGAGGAACCGGTAGCGCAACTCAGTCAGGTCCGGCAAGATGCTGCGATTGCGAAGCAAAGGTCATTATTGCAATTATCATGGCCAACAAAATCGAGGGCTCTGAGATTTTTGATGTGCCATCGCAGCCGAAAGGTTGGCAGGCTGCCTCAGCTTCCCTTTACACCTTGTCGCGCGCGATAAGAAACGAGAGTAGGAGACAGGGTCCAGGCTTAGTCAAGGCGATGCCAGCTCAAGATAGCTCAGATAGCCGCAGCCGAAGTCGTGGCAGGCGCAGACAATGGTGGCAGGCCACGCCCCCCCAGAGACTGAGAGTCAGCGAGAGTCACGGAGCTTTGGCCGATAGCCCATGGGCCCATGGGCAGCTTCCTTGAAGGCTGGTGCATGTTCTGTGTCGGCTTGTCCGTTGGCTTGTCAAACCTGTTCTGCTGCCTAGCTGCACACATCTGCACAGAACTTTGCGGAGTCAGGATTCAGATATGCCATGACATGCCGATTCTCCAACACTGAGGTGGGATTTGCGTTGGTGTCTCCGGCAGCGGGTGTGCTTTGGGTGATGCTCAGCGACCGGAGCTCTTTGAGATGGCCTGAGCATGGGGTTGTGAGATGTTGTGAGGGAGCTTCTGCCTTTTCTCTCACTTGTAAATGCTCCGAGGCGAAGGTGCAAGCACAATCTTCACGCAATGTTCAGAATGTTCTGACAAGAGTCACTGTCGCCTAAGGTCAAGATGCTGATTGTCGAAATTTTTGGCAGCGCCTTGGGGCTGTTTGGTGTTATAGCCTTTGCCTCAGTTCCGTCAGAACAACACAGGTTAGTTCCGAGGTATCTTTTGTGCAGCTCAGATCGAACCTGCTCAGGTTGGAATTATTCAGGCTGGGCGCAGTCGTGCATGGTGAGGGCAGTAGATGCATCACTGGCTGCTTCTGCCACAGGCTAACGGGGCTACGTTCCCGAAGCATTTGTCATAATGTGATGTGGTGAGGATGCCCTTTGGACATTCCAACCAAGCGTAGCCAAGCTGCTCGGTGGTTGACAATCTTCCGTACAGTGACCTTGGCAGGCTGACCACAGATTAGCTGTGGAATGCTGTGGATCTTGTAAAATGAAAGGGCAGCGAAGGGCTGCATCGGTTTCACACATTGGCGGGACGAACTCCATCTAGTCGGGTTCGGAGCTGAGGATTAGCTGATACTGAGCACACGCATTCCTTCAAGAAAGGACGCCTATGATGCTTCCCAGAGATCGGCTTTCCCTCTGCTGGACCTTATGCTTCTGCGTACAAGGTCATGGAACCAGTGGCATGAACAGTTTCCTGAGGGGGGCGGTTTTGCGCGCCGACCTCGTTTTGAGTTCCCATCAGCGCGGTGACCATGTGCAAAAGAAGCCAAAAAGCCTTTGGGCTCCTACATGACTTTGTGACTTTGTGCACTCGGAAGGGTGGCCTGAGGCCTGGTGGCCCAAAGGCACCTTTGGTTTCAAACCGCCAAATCGATGGTCGGGGACTGCAGCAAGATGCATAGCCCCCTTTGCACCCGTGCTCCTACCTCGTAGGATCGCCGAGGGATCGAATCTGACTTGAACTATGCTTGGGGCAAGATGGGGCCTGCTCCAGAGCTTAGCAAGCCCTCGGTCTGAGGAGCCTGAGGCCTAACTTTATTGCTCGGTTGCATGAAACGCGGGCAAGCGGCCGCAAAACATGGAACGATTGCGAAGAGTTCGACTCGTTGAGAAGCATCGAACAGCGGAGAAGTCCAGAATAGGCAGGAGCATGACAAGTCTACAATGCGAACGTTGATGTTGCGAGTTGCGTGTAGTGTAGCCGTTTTTCGTCGAAATCCCGGTCCGGATTTGGGCATGCGTGCGGTTCAGAGATCTTAGTGCGCTGCTAGCACCGTTGGGCACCAGCTGTTTTGTTTCTTCCGCGCGGAGAGCGGCGTTCTCTTTTTGCTGAAGCTGTGCTGTTGCCAAATTCGTGAGGACTACAGTGCGCTGCAGTCCTTTGTGCGGACACCCTGGCATTTCGCCGGTCAGCACTTGAGTCAGATGTCTTCACGACCAAGCTTTGGCTTTGGAGTGCGGTGGCCCAGAGGTTGACGAAGTTTAGCGTCGTGTGATCGTTTGTGTTCTTGATCAATTTGGCTCTGGACTGTGATGGACTGTGGAGTACAGGCGATGGAGACGCCGCGGGAAGATAATCCCATTCCTTTGCAGCGCTCCAAGACCGAGCAGGACCTGTCCGTTGAAACTGAGCGGTGTCATGCTTGTGTTCTTTCATGTTTCTTGGTTGTCATTCATCGTCCGTTTTACCGACTACATTTACACTGTGGTCGCTGCTGCGGTTGCCTGTGTTGCTCTTGTGGCTGTTTTTGCTTCTGCTGTTTTTGCGAGCTGCAAGTTCGCAATTAGCAATTGGCAGCATGTATGCAGCCATAATGTCATGTTAATGTTTACTTTTTTGCTTTCCTGGGCTTCTTCCATAAAAGCCTCGGAGAGATTGCAGCGACGGTTGATTCCAAAAACTGGTTGCTGCCAGTAGATGCAGAGTAGACGCCTGTCACCTCTTGCAGCCTTTTGCTCCTTTGAGACTCGACAGCCCGGTTGCTGTGTCCCGCTGCCACGATGGCCGCGGGTCCCAGGGGTCCCAAACGGGGAGAAGGGTTGGGGTGGGGAAGGAGACCGGATCCGTGTCTGCTTGTTCCAAACGCTTCTCGGCAGGAAGCCGAGGCGAATTCCGTGAGTCTACGTGACTTCGTTTAGGCTTCCGGACAAAGCCTAAGCTAATTCGGATGTTCATGGCTTGCATACGCGGCGCCCCTTACACACAACGCATCATCACCCCGTTGATACTTCTCATGGCTCGTGCTACTCTACCGTAGCAATGAGCTTGCTACGTTTTCGTCATTTTTCGTTCAAGGATACTGTCTCTGGCAGGTGTTCTTACCCTGATATTGTCAAGTAGATGAAACATGGGTGATTGCATGGTATATGTTGAGTTGCGATCTGCGCAATTGGCAGAGAGTGCATGGGCTTGGAGTGCTCTGAATGCAATTTGTTTGTTGCAATGTTTTGATGTTTTTTGATACGGTCGATCTATCTCAGCTTTGGGGCAAGCAGCTCAAAGCTTCGCTCATGATGCGAGTTACATGCCACACTGCTACACAAGCACCATGACATGGTGAAAACTGATGCCAGGATTTGGCACAGCGAGTGCATCAAGCTTGCAAGAAAAGAGAGGCGGAGGAGGCAGGTTTGAGTGACGAGGCGGTTGCCATGGTGACAAGGTCTTCCACCATAGTCTAAAGCTGCATTCTTTGAGCCTGGGATGTCGAACGTAGCCATGCATAGCTAGCAGCCAGCAGGTGACAGTAGCATTTCCCGATCTGCTTGCACTAGGCAGCAGTGCTGCAGCAGCAATTTGCCAAAGCTTCTGCAAATTGCTGGAACTTTCTGGGGAATGATTTAGTCGCTCTGGTTTGTACAGTCCGATGTCATACTGGAGCAGCTGGAGCATGTGCCGTCGGTTGAAAAATGGGCAGGCGTGTGGAAATTCAGTTGCTGGCAGGAGACGTCACAGCTCTTCTCAACTCAGGTCAACAAATACCTGCTGCTGCTTCGAATTGTTCTGGCAGAAATCTTTAAAGCTGAAGCCTTACCAGTGCACAGTGCACACATGTGCATACTGAAGCCCCTCTCGCATACAAGATGCAACAACACGCGTGCCGAGACTACCCTTCAAGACGTTCAGACCCTTCGTGTGGCAGTTGTTGCGAGCAGTTAACTAACATAACTAACTATGTAGCTGTGATTATGAGCTCAAGACACGATGCACAAGCAAGTCTCGAGGGAAAACCGCTTGATCCGACATGGATCTTCTGTTTTGGCTTGTGTAGCCGCTCTGGCCAATCAAGGTCTGGACTGGATTGTGTGGGGATCGCAGACGTGAGATATACGATGAGATCTTGTTTTATTTCAATAGGCCGCCCCTGCAATCAAGGGCAATGTCAAGGCCGAAAATGCACGTAACAGTCGAGGCAAATGGTTGCGTAAATGCTGCGTCAAGAACCTCAGGCGCATGGAACGTTCCATGCAAAATGTCTCGGGGGTTTCAGAGCCCGACGCAATCTGGCCACCAGGCAATCCAACACTGATCGAATTTTGTGTGGCTCAGGGGAGAGAAATGGAAGACGGAGTGAGGAGGGTTTCTGAATCTAATGCGCATCCAGAAGACGAAGCATGAATGCTTGCTTTCTGAGCAACCAGAACGCGTGCAGCGACCCCTGTAGATGATGCTTGCAACATTGTGTGTGCAATTCCTTTCCTTCTGGGAGTTCGACTGGCCGCTGCGGCGGCAAGAGATAATTTGAGGCATTTGCGGCCCGGACGTTCCCCTCCCCGGCACCCGAGCCTCCCAAAAGAAGCATCTGCGCGAAAGCGGAGCTGGTGCAACAAAGTCTTGTCCATTCCCTGTCTAAGCTGCTAAGCTTGAGCCTTGCACATTGCATAGCCGAGCGCACCGACACGTCATGCAGGTTTGCCATACAGTTACCGCAGCCCCTTGCCAATGTAACGGGCTAAGGCCCGAGTTGTGCGTAAAGCGGTGGTGGGGTCCGTGGACTGGAGGGCGTCAAAAGGTCCCAAGAGGTGGGTCCACGCGCAGCATGAAAAGTTGTGTGGCCGAGGACCTGCGGATGAATGGCTGGCAAATGCAGGAGGTCATGTTTTATCTGTTTGTCAGCAGCAGGCAAGATGCAAACCAGGCAGGGTGCAATGAATGTTCTCGTGAAGGTCAAGGATCGCGCGGAAGTCCTCCTACGGCACGCTTGCGGTCTCTCTGTGCAGAGTTACACAGTTTGCAAAAAGTGGCGACTTGCAAGCAGGCCTGCCCCACACCGCACAAATAGTGCTTCCAGTGTTGGGATCATCATGCAGGCCCCGTCAAGTCATCTTGTGCACAGCTGACTTTCCTTTTCGAGAGACACGCTGAGATGCCGTTGAGACTCTGTGTGCTCTGTGCGGCAGTTGACCCGAGTGCTTTGGGATGAGCTCCAACCTCAGCTGGAGCAGAGCCCAAAGGCGGCTCCCCAGGCCTGCTCTGAGCTTCGACGCTTTTTTTCTTGCTCTTCGCCGATCCTCTTCTTCGATCCTTCTCTTTTTCCGATCCTCTCTCTTCTCTTCGCAGCTCTCTTCCTCGTTGTTGGACTGAAGAGCTTTTGCAGGTGATCTTGGCACTCCTCGAACCATTCATCGGCTTGGCAGAGGGTTCGTATGTTGAGGGTCTCGCCCCTGCCTTACTGAAGCAGCTTCGTCCGACGTTCGAGCGCAGCCTCCTGGAAGAAGGTTCGAAGCGTCCATGAGAATGTGCTTGGAAGGCTCGGCAGTGTGCTGTTCACAGGGCATGTGAGCTGATGGCAGTGGGGTCATAGCGGCACAGCCTCTAGGGTGCCAGATGAGCTGCTGAAGCAACTGGGCCAGAGATTGCCGCGGGCTTTCTCCCAGCGTGGAATTCCGCGAGGGTGACATCCTGTGGCTGCTACTGCAGGTTGGAAGCTGCTGCGAATGGTGCAGCAACACAGAAGAATCGAGAAGCAACATGCCCAGATGCTTGCTGAGTTCGTGTTGAGCTTCCATAAGTATAGCATCAGGCCCTCTACGACATGGTTGAAGTGCTTGAGAACCGGATCAGGCATGCGGTTTATATGAGATTCAGCAAGGGAGAGAGATCAAAGCTAAGTTGTTAGCAGTCTATCAAATCCTACCCAAGCAGCAGAACCGAACATGCCCCAGCATCCTTAATACGAAACGAGAGCTTGCTCTGTTTGCATTTAGACAATCTCATTGTTTGGAGAAGAGAGCTTGACTAACTCAAAGAAGCGCCGACTCTTCTTGCATGTATCAGCAAATTATCAGAGGGCTCATTTTGATGAAGAGAAACCTTGCTATAACTTTCCATGCAGGTTCAAGGTGTTGGCCCATGAAGAGTGTACTAATATTTTCGAGTAAACTCTTATGGACTCGCAATCACAGAGAATCCTGGTGAGACTATATTGGACGACCAATCTCAGGCTGAAATGCCAACGGTTTTGGTAAAATGGCGACCTAGAGTCAGGATTACTGTAGCAAGCAACACTTGGCACCCTAAACATTCACCAAAAGACAAGCAACACCTGACATCGTGCCAGTTTGGCTTTTGTCTTTCAGAAAACAAGGATTAATAATCACAGTGTATTTGCACAAGACATTTGCACCCCCACCCCCCTCCCCGAAAAGGATCTTGCTTTCATGATGGTCTTGAAACTTCATAGCGCAGGGGGCGGGGCGCAGGGGGGCGGGGCTGGGGGGGGGGGGGGGGAAATCCGGCTGGCCGGCTGAATCGCGGTGCCTGCCCTCCTTTGCTCGTAAAAGAGGGAGCATGGGCCAAACGCCAGACATCCATGGCCCAAGAACCGCGTGCACATGGCTTGTAGATTCATGTACAGTAATTGATGTCGTTGTATGGTATTTCTCCCTTATGCTGGCAGCAAGTAGAGTCTTAGAGCCAGCACGTTCCGTCGGGCATGAGTGCCAGCCAGAGGGAAGGGGTGGGCAAAAGAATGCAAAAAGAATGCACGGAATCATCATTCGGCCATCGCAAGCAGAGGCCGAATGTTGCAACCCACTCGGTCTTGCTGCAACACATTGGTTTCTATGCACGGTCGATGGTGGACATATACCATGGGTATGTATGGGTCAATCCACCCCCGGCCTCCAGCTTGAGAAATTGAAACATAGTGAGCTTGGCGACGTGGCGTTCCATTGTGCACAATGTGCTTCGCCAGAAAGATCAGCAACATCCAGAGGAATCCAAGGCGTCTCATTTTTCAAGTTTGCACTTTCAACGAATAAGAGACGGATAATGCACGTACATGGTCCAAAAGTGAGGTGCAAACTCCTTGCTGCACGTATATTCAGGATTCGCGAGTTGTCGTCACACCCACAGACGCAGGAAATGTATGGTTTCCGTGCTGTTCGGCCAACTTCGAAAGATTCAACTCACGCATTTCGGTCATTTGTTGCTGCCTGGTTCCCGCCATCGTTTTAGAGTACTTGGAGGTCTTGGCCTTTCACATCACAGAGAATGAAAGCCAAACAATGCTTAGACATGCTTAGACTAGGTTTACACATTGTGCTAGGTTGTACTTCTGTTGTCATACAGCATGTTACACGCGGTTGCCAGCATGTTTTGTCGCTTTGTATTGCGTGCTCTGCTGGTGGGTCCGTTGGTGGGTCAAAGATGGGCCGAAATCCGGCCTCATGCTTGGAGGTGCAGCAACTCCACAGCTCCGCGATTGCTACTTCCTGACGAGGCTGTGCCGGCAGCTAATCAAATCCGGAACGTCTATTGCTTGCTGGGTGGAATATACCCGACGGAGCAGAAGCTCGACAAGAGTAACTCCTGACCATTGTCTCCATGGGCCTTGAGACAAAATCAGACAGGAGGTAGAGGTATCGCGCTTCGTCACTTCTTCCCCCTGAGCGTGTTTTTTCACTTTGATGCATGCTCCATGTGGTTTGTCAGCTTTCGCCTTGCTTCAGGCAAGCTCGCAGATCACACCGGACGACAAGGGATCCAACCATGTCCGTGCCATAGTCGCTGCGTTGGGCAGCCAGGTTGCGCGGCGGCATTTGTCGTAGCAAACTTCTGAATCTGTGCCTGGAAGGTACAGAAGCACAGAAAAAAGAAGAGGAAGAAGGCGAGCCGATCTAGAGGGTGATGTGAGGCAGCTTCTTTTTTGTCATTTGGAAAGGCAAATCGCATGCAGTGTCCAATGCCGATTCTCAGTGCCGAGGTCCACACTTCTGCTGACAGTCAGGAGAGAGTGTCCGTGTCACCTCTGATGCTTCCGAAGGCTCCGTTTCGATGCAAAGCATACGCTACATCACAGCTTGTGAGAAGCGCTCGTGATCTCGGCACAGCCCTGGTCAAGGCTGCTTTGCCGCTGCGATCAAAAGTTATTGCGCAGAGGAAGAAGCGGCAGAGGAGCACATTGCAGCTTTCGTCCCTTTCATTTGGGATTCTGAATGGTTCTGAAGGGTCAGCTCAGCCTATGCTCGTGCTTTCAATTTCCGAAGAGTAGGCTTCTGTTTCAAGACCTATTAAGACCTGGAGGCTTGACACCAAGGAAGCAAAAGACGTCGGAACGACCAACAGCAAGGTGCTTCAGCTTTCATATTCATGGCACATAAGAGCTCTCATGGCTCAGCAATGCTCAGTGCGTGTGCTGCCCTCATTTTGGCAGTTGCTGCACCAGCAGTGTGCAAATAGTGTGCAAGCTGCCACAGAGAGTACTACTTGTAGAGAGTGTGCCGTTGATCTTAACCACAGACTTCAGACATCTTCACACATCTTCAAACGCTTCCCGTAAACTAGTCTGTCTTCAAAGCGCACGGGGCTGGGCCAGTCGCGGGGTCCGGGCAGCCACTGGCAGTTTGGGTTTTGGGCTGTGCAAGAAGCGCATCCCAAAGTCGGAAGTGGTTGGCGGAGAATGGTTCTTAATGATGCCAGCTGTGGGGGTACTGACTTGCGTTGGTCAGGGCAATTCAGGGTTCAGCAGTTTACCGAAGCTGAGTTGGTCGCGTTGCTGGTTGTGCGAGTATGCCACGGCCGACGAGAAGGTTCCTCAGATGATGTGCTCACACGGTTCAAGGCCCGACTGCACCTTGTGAATAGTGACCCGCCCTGTCGGCGCTTGCAGCTGACCCCGTCCTTGCCACCGCTCCCGTGCTGTTGGCCTTGCTGTCCCCGCTTCGACACAGCGGAGTGAAAAGGCGTAGCGCAAGAGCCGAACGGGCACACGTGTGCTGGGAGGCACTTCCGACGACTGCATGGGCAGGTGATCGCCGATCGCCAGATCTCACCAGTCGCAGCGGTTCACTGGTCATCACTTGTTTATCAAAACCTAGCCTTGGATGGTGTGGGATTCATTGCCCCCAACTCCAAAACCTAGCCTTGGATGGTGTGGAATTCATTAGATGAACCTGTACAGCTCCTGACGTCCTTGGCCTCGACCCCAAGGCAGCTCCAATAAAACATAATTTTGCCGGCGGAGACCCCAAACGGCAAATTGAGATCAAGGGAATCCGGCGCGACGCATAGAACTCGACTTGCCAAGTTTTCTATCTGGGCTCATGCAGCAGCAGTTAAAGGCTGTTCTATGGAGCTGTCAGGGTCGGAACAAACCTTTTGTTCCAATGCAAATGAGTGATATCCTCGTTGATGGCTGGCCGAACTTGTAAAGTGGAACGTGCGTGTGGGAATGTGGCAGAAGCACGATCCAATGCCCAAAACAGAAGGGGAGTCTAAGGGAAGGGGGGGCACTATAATCCCTATTAAGGACTGTTAGTATAAGGGGGCAACATCCCAACATCAAGCCCCCTAAGCCCTAAACCTAAACCCTATATAAACCCTAAACCCCAAACCCCAAACCCCAAACTCCAAACCCTAACCCTAAACCCTAAACCCTAAACTCTAAACCCTAAACCCTAAACCCCAAACCCTGAACCCTAAACCCTAAACCCTAAACCCTAACCTGTCAGAAGACCAACTGCCCGGGTTGTGGCAACGCGTACCTGGACGACTCGCTGTTCTGTCGGAAGTGCGGCCGCAAGCGCGACGAGGCGTGGACCGATGTGGGGGTTTCCGAAAAAGGGGTGTCCTTGTAGGGGATTCCTGGAAAAAGGCTTGAAAAAGGATCATGGTACTTGGGGCATACTACAGGTACTCCTATATTGAGTAATGCCCACATGGTGGTGGATCGGCTACAAGTTTTTTTTTGGGTTTTCCGCCCTACAGCAAGTTTAGCCGCTAGTTTAGCCAGTCGAGAAAGCGGGGGTGAGGATTGTGTTGGGGTTCCGGTGGTAGGGTTTTGGATGGTTTTGGTGTATAAACCCTGAAATTCGATTCGGTCACTTCTTTAAGGGATGGTCCTGTTTGGGGTCACTATTGCAAGGTGGCCCCTAATATTTAGGGAACCCAATAAGGGACCACAGTTTAGAGAACTGACCATGTAGGATTCAGTTCTGCCAAAGAAGAGGTTGCTGGTGGCGTTTGGGGCAAGGGCGTTCGTTTCCAAATCTGTTCAAAGATTGATGATGATGGTGGTGGTGGTGGGGATGCTGAACAACAACGTAACAGTCACAACAATAACAATATGACAACACAACCTCCCCTGCCCCCACCGTCTGGTAACTACTGGACCGCTCAAAAAATATTTTGGCGCCGAAGCTGCACAGACGAAAGTCCACCAACATGTGCAAATGGCCTAAGTCGCCCTGAATACCTAAAATACCTCAAATTCCTTGAATACCTTAAATTTCGCGGAAACCGCCCAAGGGCTAACACTCAAAGCCTCCTGTGAGGAAAACCCAAAAGTGCGAGCGCGGCACCTGGAAATGCTCATAGTGGATGCTTTCCTAAAGCGGAAAACAAGACCATGAATCACGCACCCATGGTTCAGAAAACAGCAAGGAACGAATCAGAAAACAGCGAGGTTTGAATCAGCATGCATGGACAGCCATGCCTTTACATCGGTCTCTCTCACTGTCGGGCCGTTGCGGAGCCTGGACTGGGCGAGCAAGGACAGAAGAGCCCAACCCCAACACAAGCCAAACTAACCTACCCTAACCTAACTAAACCTAAACCCAAGCCTAAACCTAAGCCTAAGCCTAAGCCTAAGCTTAAGCCTAAACCTAACCCAACCCCACTAACCTAACCTAAGCTAACATGATACGTTTAAGGCTGTGCTTTTAGGGTTGAGGTTTAGGGGTTCCCCCAAGACACATTTTATTCAAGATAGGTCTACTAAGTCTCCCCCCCCCCCCCTTATGAGAGGCGTCGATAGATCCCTATACAGACCTATGGTAACAAATTTATCACTTGCGCTCGAGCAGCAAGGTTTGCTGTATTTACATAAGGGGCTTTTAGGGTTCAGGGTTTAGGGTTTTCATGGTTTAAGGTTTGGGGATTTTTAGGGTGCAGGTCTTGGGGTGTTCTAGGTTGAGGGCTTAGGGGGTTTCAGGGTTTAGGATTTTTTCGGCTTAGGGCTCAGGTTTTGTTTTGGGTTGAGGGCTTGAGGCTTTAGGGGGTTTTTAGGATTTAGGGTTTAGGGGTTTTTTAGGGTTTAGGGTTTAAGGTTCTTGCGGGGTTTGTTGGGGGTTTACGGCTTAGGGGTTTTAGGGTTTAGGTTTTTTTGAATTCGGCCTCAGGGTTTTTCAGGCTTTAGGGGGTTTTAGGGTTTAGGGTTGGGCTTTTGGGGTTTAGGGCTTCGGTTTTTTTAGGGTTAGGGATTTTTAGGGCTTAGGGGCTTTTAGGCTTTAGGGGGTTTTGGGGTTTAGGTTTAAGTTTGGGGATGTTAGCCCCCCCCTTCCCATTGCAAACGCAGCGCTCGCATGTTCGCTTCGAAAAAGAATAAAGCGGGGGGGGGGGGGGGGGGGGGGGGGGGGGGGGGAGGGCAGCCCGGTTTGCAAACACAATGCTCGCATGATGGGTTTGAAAAAACATGCCTATGTTTAGGGATTTTTAGGGTTTAGGGTTTAGGGATTTTTACGGTTTGGATTTATTAGGGTTTAGGGCTTCGGGGTTTGTAGGGTTTTGAGTTTTCGGGGTTTGAAGTTGAAGGGTTTTTCGGGATTACGTTTTATTGGGTTTGGGGCTCAGGGGTTCTTAGGGTGAGGGCTTAGGGCCTTTAGGGTTTAGGGGTTTTTAGGGTTTAGGGTTCTTAGGGTTTTGGGTTTTTTAGGGTTTAGGGGTTTTTAGGGCTTAGGGGTTTTTAGGGTTTAGGGTTTTTTTGGGGTTTAGGGTATAGGATTTTTTGCCACCCTTCCCATTTGCAAACGCAACGCTCGCATGATGGGTTCGAAACAGAATTAAGCGGGGGGGGGGGGGGGGGGGGGGGGGGGGGGGGGCAGCCCGGCCCATTTGCATACACAATGCTCGCATGATGGGTTGAAAAAACACGCCTATGTTTAGGGGTTTTAGCGTTTAGGGTTTAGGGTTTTTTACGGCTTGGATTTATTCGGGTTTAGGGGGGTTTTAGGGTTTAGAGTTTTCGGGGTTTGAAGTTGAGAGGTTTTCATGGTTTACCTTTTTTGGGTTTAGGGCTTAGGGCTTTTAGGGAAACAAGCACTGCGTCCTTTCTTGCGGACTTTTGTTTCTGATTCGTGCCTTGGTGTTTTCTGATTTGCACCGCCGTGTTTTCTGATTTGCACTCCTGTTTGCTGAGTTGTGCTTGGCTGATTTGCCTGTTACCCTGCTCATAGTATTCTGCTAACCCCTAAAAAAGGAACCCCTAATTTAGACCCCGAAATAGTAAGATCCCCTCGAGGATCGTGCGCAACGAGGGCGCACGGCAGGGGGGTTGGCATTTGAAATTGAACCCAAAGCGAGCTCCGAGGCAAGAGCCGCGCAACCGCCTGCGCGGGCCGACCTAAGCCCGACCACGTTGGAACCGCATCCACAACTGGCCTTAGAATGACTCGCTGTTCGGGGAAAAGGATGACTAAGACACGTGGGTCCAAAAAAGGAACGAACTGCGACGTTTTCTTTTTTTCAGCACCTTTTTTTGTTGAAGATGTGTGACAGGTCCGGCAACAACATGATGGTGGCTCAAACGTCGTCGAGCAGCTCAAGCCTCAGAAGTTCTGGGCTCTAGGGGCAAAAGCCCTAGTCCACGGGTAGGGCAGTAATTATTGACGTTCCGAAAAAGTTTGTTCAATCAGCATTCTTCGGTCACGCGTGCAGATTGCAGCCGTAGAACATAAGCTCTGTTCCATGCATCATGCCGAAATTTTACATGTACAGATTTCTTCGAGCCATCTGCTTGTCGAGATTGTTGAGCCACTTAAAAATTCCGATGCCGCTTTTCACCAAGACCTACAGCATTACAATCGTAGAAGTTGTCGCAGCAGCGTAACAGTCCTAGACGGCAATAAACTGTCTGATGCAACTTCATTGCCATGAATCTGCACAAATGCATCTAGCATGCTTGCGACATCTTGGAGAACGTGAAGGAGCAGAGCACCTTGAACCCGCAGTGCCGCAAGAAGCCTAGAAGCCAGTTGCCAGATCCGAGGCCAGAAAAGGAAGAGATCAGAAGACGAAAGAAGAAGAAGAAGATGCGAAAAGTGTCCTTCGACCTCTTGAAGAATCAGGACCTGCATGTGAACTGGAGCTTATCATAGGGATGGGCCTGAGATAGAATCGTTCGAAGCGTTGTGTGAGATTTAAGGGGCTCTTGTGTGCTGCGTGCAGGTTGTGACCTTCTCTGATAAGCTTCCGGTCTCCAACGTCAAGGCTGTTGAAGTCTGTTCTGCTGGGATCTGGTTAGGTTGTTTCAAGTCCAGCAGGAAGCCGCTGCCAAAAAGGTGCAGAAGAGGCCCTGGTTTTGGCAAGTATCAATCGCGGTCTTTGGTTCATGCTAGTTCAGCAGCGTCTGCACAAGGAGATGAGCGGCGCTTGATCCTGTAGCCGATTCCGGACCAGACAAAGCGGGTTGCGGTGGTGAACGTGAACATCTTCATGGACTCCGTGGCGCTGACGAGCAGATTTCGTCCATGGGTGAAGATCGATGCACCTCGAACAGGAAGCTTGCTGTGCTCAGAGATGTTCGCCCGCTGTCAAAAGTGCACCGGCCGCAGAGTCCTCCCTTTCACTGGCTTGATAGGGGGATCGTGGGGCAGGGGGCCCGGGCTCTTAGTCTTCGCTTCGTTCATCAGGAATCCACCACAGATCAACCGCATCATCCCGAAACTTGGAGCCCTTAATCACGTTGTTGTTACCGCCCGCTTCAAAGACCCTATAGAAGAGCTCCTGCAAAGGATACCAGTCATCTGATGTTGGGCTCTTGACTTGGAAACCGTATCATCATGAGTCTTCGCGTAGTTCCCGAAGACAGCGTTGATCATAGGGGCTTTTTTATTCGGAGACAGCGGAATGTCTACGTTGTCGAAATTGTTGTTTATTGTTGTGGCATGTTCAAGGCCTCATCTTCGTTCACATTGGACGGGTTGATTATTTCAGCTAGCTTTCAGTGTTCATTCTCCCATCATTTCAGGGACCCTGAAAACCGCAGCACACTTAACACATCCTGTAAGAATGTTGTCTGAAGCCCTTGTGTTAATGGCATCAAAATGTTGAAGCTTTCTTTCTAGCTCCCGAATCTTTCAAGCTTTAAAGCTCCAAACAACCGAGCTCCAGGTCGTTGTTTTTTCATGCCCATTGCCCATCCAGCAGGCCCACATCCCTTAGGCGCTTAGGTTTAGACCTCCCCCTTCCCGTCCTCTAACTTACAATGCTGCTGACTGGCACATCTGGTCCATATCTGGCTCCAAATGCCGCGAATTGCTGCGTTTCCAGGTGAGGCAGCTCCAGACAATTTCACATGCAGCATGCCAGCTAGCTGTACCCAGGCTCCGGATGTTGCAAAGTAGTGCGCTTCCAAGACGAGGTCGCCACAGAATGCTTCAGACTCGAAGTGCTGTAGCTCTATGTCGGGAGTTGAATACTACAGAGAAGAAACCCATGTCCAAGTCCTTCCTGCATGCTTCCTGGGTCCTGTGCGCAAACAGAAGATCTGTAATTCGCAGCATCGGATGCGCCTGAACAGCCCCGGGAACGCTGGTAGTTTACGGAGCACTTCCAGTCCTGAGCGGCTCCATCCTTGGAAATGGACATACCTCACAGCACCCGGAGCGTGTACAGCTACGTCTTCTTTAGTATACATGTTGAAATTGTTGGAGCTGCTTCTTCTTTATTCGCAAATGATGTGGTTTTACAGCATGTGGTTTGTCTGTGGTACTGGTACTGGCAGCGTGCCGAGGACACCCGGATCCCATTCTGACCTTATGATGGCTAAACTATGCCCCAGTGTTGCAAGTGACGGACTGATGTGGAATCAATGGGCCATCATTGGCATGAGTGTTCAACTCCTCAGCGTTTGGCTCGAAAACAGTTGCTGTGCTAAATGTGAAAACGAAGCCTGCAAGGATCGTCTTCAATACAGAGACAAGCATTGAAGCCACCTGAAATCGTTAAGTGCTCTCTTAACAAGTTTAGAACAGGCTACATTTCAAGAACATGGGGTGCGCTCAAGTCATTTGGCAGCCGGGCTGGCTCATTGCTTTTATGAACTGACGGTTGTTTTCGTGATGCCGATAATGTAGTTGGTATCATAGTAGGCGCTTTGCGTTTGCTGCAGCGATCTTGCTTGCATGCCGCAAAAGCCCCACTACCGACCTTTTGCCTAAACGAACTTGGACATTGTTTGCAATTTCTGCTAGCATGCCGCCATGCAGTCTAATGAAGAGGGACACAATTTCTGGATGCTTTCCTCTCAGGCCCAGGCCTCATTGTGCTCGGCAAGTTGCTTATAGTTGCTTGAGTTCCTTGTGAGCACCTCCCTGTGGCCCAAGGTCTGCTTTTATGCAGCCTATGGCACGACGGGGTTGGCAGCCGTCCGCTTCCAAGCTTCAGTGATTCGCAATCTGCAGTGCAGGAGTGTTTCGGAACCAGGCAGCAAGGCCATTTAACGCCTCTGGACTTGGCAGTCGAGTGCACTCAACTGAGCATGTCACAGCATTGCCACAGCAAAAAGCTCGCGCAAAGTCAAATCTCCATCGCAGCCCTTTCAGATGCGCATTGGGCATCATCCACCTTCGTATCCCAAGACAAGCGAATTTAATGGTGAGCAGACTCCTTTCGTAAAGGCTGGTAGGTAAGTGACACCGCTGGTGCGGGAGGCTGAAACGGGTTTAAGCGGCCACTTTCATATCGTTCTGTTTGGGCTGTCGTGGAGGGCGGGATACGAGATGATACCAGATGCTCTGAGGCAAGCACCTGTTTAGATGGATGCTGCACGTCCTCCGGGGCAATGATTTAGGCCTACCATGCAAAACCAAGCTGCAGTTGCCTCCTCGTGATTGAGCTTTAGCCCCCGACTTGTAGTCGCTTCTCTCGCATCGCTCGGTTTGTTTACGCATCGATCGGCGTCCACATTGGCGAACTGCATTCTCCAATGTAGATCTCTTGACGTGTCGAAGTCTGCCTGGAAGTCATCGATCGGCGTCCACATTGGGGAACTGCATTATACTGCATTCCCCAGAGTATATCTCCTGATGTGTCGAAGTTGGCCTCGTCGTCATTGACGCAGCATCTACATGGTCTTTTGTGTGCAGCGCTTACAACCCTATAGACTCAGCCCAAAAGACACATCGATCGGTGTCCACATTGGGGAACTTCATTTCCCAGAGGATATCTCTTGACGTGTCGAAGTCGACCTCGTGCAGGCTTCTGCATGTCTTCGGGGCTTGCAAGCTAAGTAACGGATGATTGCTGGGTGGCCACGGTCCCGCGGATCGCCGCGGCGACAACTCGACCAACCCCCCGGCAGTTCAGGTTTCATCGACTTAGGGATCCCTCAGTTCTTGCGTCTCCCTGTTGATTCGCTGTTGAAACAGAGTTAATACACTACAACAAACGTGCTGAAGACACGGGCATCCGCAGAAAATCCGGCAGTTTGACCCATGTTGTCTGTTTCCCTAAATTCCAGCGTCTACTTGGGGATTGCGGTGTCCTGATGTGTATTTCCGCCGCTGATGTGAGTTCCCGCTATGTAGCGTCCCCAATGGGGTGCTGTGTATTTATCGCGACCTGATGTGAGATAAGCTCGCTGCAAGTACTTGAGCGCGTGCCTATAAAGTCCTTGTAGTTGTGACTGTCACGCGGACCTGTAGGAGCCACGCAAAATGCTGATACTTTGTCTTTGCATTCATGGTATTGGGTACCGCTCGTACATTCTTGTCCTCATCGGGATCGGTTCGATGCCACCCAGGTGAGTTTCAAACATTGTAAGGCATCGATCCAGTGTGGCAACTACTGTTCACACCATGCAGAATGTAACAAGGGACAAAGAGAGAAACTACGTACTTGGGCCCGTGCCGGCGCCCCAGAGGGGGAAGGGAGAGCTTGGACACTCAAGCCTGCAGAAAAAAAACGGAGCCGACTCGGAGCCGACCGATCCTCTACCCGCTTGAACAAAACAAGAAAGAAAGGAAAGAAAGGAGCCGGCTGACGGGTCGACGGTCGACTCGGGTGTCTGCGGCCCGCGTCGCACATTTTAATGGCGTGCCGGCCACCTTTGGACCGTCTGTCGCTGACGGCGTGTGCGGCGTAGTTCAATGTCCATTCTGTCCAGCTTAACCATTTAACCATCATTTGGCAAGGTGTTTTCATTGTCTCAGACACGGTACTAGCCGAGTTGGACATGCCAGATGCTTTCACTGCAATCCTGCGACTGCCGTGTGAAAAAAAGCGATCAAACAGAAGGTGATAAGAGGTGGCCTCGATGGCGTGCAACTTTGGGTCATGCACGTGTTTAGTGTTTCTGTTTATCGGCCAACTCAGTTTTCAGGACCCTGACATGCAACTCTCTGTTGACCAAGGGGTCCGAGGGAAGCCCGAACAGTCCAGAACAGGCAGCAGTCAAGCACAACGGACAGGTGTGGTTTGCGGCCATTAACTTCATTGGGGACGAGGTGTACCATCCGCTAGACTTCTTCTCCAATAAGATGCGAAGCAGGCATTGCGCGGGGTCCGTCTTTGCTCAACTTGTGTGGGCATGGTCAGCCTGTGCTGGGACTGCGGGTAGCTGTTGTCAACTGCCCTACTGCTGTCGCTGATGAATGTCGATGAATAAAGGTGCAAAGCGTAGCTGTCGATGAATAAAGGTGCAAAGCGTAGCTTTGCACTCTACGGGTGGACCCCGATTTGCAGTACTTCCGGACCCATAGCAGTTCGTTCATAGTAGTATAGCAGTGTTACAAAAAGTTACAGATGCCCCAGGGCCCCGCGTCATTGAGTCATGTTTCTTGTTGTAAGGAGTGACCTGACTTGCAAAGGGGTACCAGTGGTCCTCATGTTCTTTGGTGCAGGCCATACTGGTACGTTGCAGTGCTCGGCCTCAAGATTTCGCCGTCCGCATTGCAAGCTCCTGCTTCAGAGCAATCACTGAACTGAATGAAGTGAACGAAGGTGGTTGCTACAACTGCGGGGCTGCTAGGCCTTGACATGGCCAGCGGCCCAGGATTCCTTTCGGGGAGCAGAGGGGCTTGACATGGCGGGATCAAACGGGCCACACAAACATCATAGAAGAACATACTCGCAAGTTGGCGTTCTCGTCGCTATTGCCCCGGATAGATCTACTATCTTTGGGAAGCGCTGGCACCTAATTACTACTGGTAGTAAAGTAAAGAATGCAAAAGCAACAACTTAGAATAGTGACCTCAGCATACCTCAGCAGCCCAGCAAGGGGACCAAACCTGAAGTAATCCAAGCAGCTTCAGTTTTGATTGAAACAAAGCAGTTTGATGAGCGCTGAATGTCGCTGGGATCGTCTGGGATTGGGATCATGTGCGGGCGGTGCTGTGGGGATGCTGTGGGGATGAGCTCAGTGATCTTTCCAGGGGATTATTCCACCATTTTCCAACCGATCTCAGCGAAGCCCGGGGGCGGGAAGACTCGCAGAGCTGCTATGAGCACAACGCGGCGCAGAGAGAACAAAGAGTCCTGTCACGAATCGTATCGTCTCAGTAAGGCCCACAATGCTTGTGGGCTGGCGTGCCTACTCACTCGTGCATGCGTGAGGGAGGGAACGAGAGAGAGAGAGAGAGAGAGAGCAGGGATACAGACCCGACTAGGAACAAGCGTCTGAGTAACACACCCCCAACAGGGCAAAGCCCCCAACCGTTACAAGCTTGGCAGGGGGAACCATATTTTCACGTACCTCAGCAAGCGATGCCAACAGCCGGGGAAGGAGGTTCTTGCAGTAGTCAAGAGTGTAGCAAGAGCAAGATACCCGGCATTCTCGCATTCTCACCGGCGGGGCAACAGACAGATGCCGTTTCGAGTGGCAGCGATTCTTCACGGGGCAGGAGCTTTGACTCGTACGGTTCTTCAGGGCCTGGGGAAAGGGGGAGGGGTCTTCTCGGAAGAATCCACACAACTCGGGCATCGACCTCAGCTGAACAGTCTCACCGAGACCGAACTCGGCCTGGGCGCGCCCAGTGCGCGGGGGGCCCTCCGGGGTTCCTCAAGCCCCGTAGAAGAAGAATAAGAAGAATAAGAAGAAGAACAAGAAGAAGAAGAAGAAGAAGAAGAAGAAGAAGAAGAAGAAGAAGAAGAAGAAGAAGAAGAAGAAGAAGAAGAAGAAGAAGAAGAAGAAGAAGAAGAAGAAGAGAGGGAGACAGGGACCCCTCACCGGACCGCAAACCGCTTGGCCGTCGTGGCCGGGGGCCCCCTAACCCGGGGTCCATTAAAGTGAGAAGAAGAAGAAGAAGAGAGGGAGACAGAGAGAGAGGGAGAGAGAGAGCCAGGGAGACGGAAGAGAAAGATGGGGAGGGGTCAAGTGCAGAGAAAGAAATATCGAAAAAACAGAAAAGGCAGATCGCCCACTTTGGACTATCACCAAAATCCATGCCGCGCTACACGCGCCGGGGGCTTTCCCCCGAAGCCCTTCGAAAGAAGAGAGAAGTTAAGAACAAAAAAGAAAGAAGAAACAGAAGGAAAGAAAGACAAAAGAAAGAAAAGAAAGAAAGAAACAAAGAAGAAAAAAAACAAATATCGAACGAAAGAAAGAAATAGAGAAACAAAGTTTCAAATACAGAAAAATAGGAAAGCCATAAAGAAAAAAGAAAACAATAAAGAATGACATAAATAAGAAGAAAGACGAAAGACATCATAAGACATAAGGACATGAAGAAATGGTGAAAGAGAGAGAGAGAGAGAGAGAGAGAGAGAGAGAGAGAGTTTCACCAACTGACCCACTGGAGCATGCCCATTTGGGCGACCCCTTCGGGGTTAAGTGCAGCGGATGGAAGGAAGGAGAGAGAGAGAGAGAGAGAGAGAGAGAGAGAGAGCGTCTCAGAGAAAGGTGCGGTCGGGGGTGGGCGGGTGGGCGGGTGGGCGGGTGGGTGGGTGGGTGGGCGGGTGTGTGGGTGTCCAGAGGTCCAGGCCCGAAAATAGCTTTTGTAGTACAGATGTGGGGAGGGGCAAGCGCAGAAAATGGGTAGAGTAGAGATAGACGGCAGGTGGTTAAGGTAGGGGTGGGAGGGTGGGTTCCGTCCCCAAGGTCCTGATGCAGCATCCGCTCCCGGACACCGGTCAGCTCGGGGGGTGCCCCTTCCACAAAAAATCCAAACAAAGCGGAGGGGAAGATTAGGTGGTACTTGCTGTATGCAACTCAGACACCTACGGCCCGAGGCCTCGGCGGATTAAGCCCACGGTGAAGCATGACAGAAGCGAACGGAATCCCCACAAGAGCCGCCCGCGTGCATGAGCAGAAAGAGTTTGTGAGTTTACTGCGACGGAGGCCAGCGGCTACTTGGAGGAGCTGTCCAGTACTCTGCCGGAGCTGGTGGTTTGTACCAATCTCGAGGATGGCACATAGAGCACGCAAGAATGGCCACGCCAAGCGAGTACGCGTTGTTTTGTCCTCCGTTTTTCAAAACCCTGATGTCAGGGTTTTGTGTTGGTGGGCACAATGATGTTTGCTGAATCGGTCCGGGCCCAAGGCCCAGCCGTGGCAATCTGTCGGGTGGGCAACTACTACGGTTTATGGGTTTAGAATGGTTTAGAGGTTGATATGGGTTTAGGATGGTTTAGGTTTACGTTTGGGTCTACGTGTCTAGTGTTGACGCCTTGCACGCCCAGAGGCTGGCGCAGCCATGGTCACCATGCTGGCCCACATGATTGTGACGAAAGGACTTGTCTGCAGCCTAGTTGAAGCCACAGCAGGTATTGGCTTCAGTGAATCCTACAATCCGCACATGCTCGAGGTTGTTGTCGTCACCATTCCGACTGCACCTTTTATGCCGGGGGTCATCCTGCCACTGTTAATCGCAGTCAGATGAGAGCGATTGCATCTGCTTGGCTGATGCGAGGCAGTATATTCCAATGCGTACTTCATTTTGCACATGTTCTTCGTATTCTTCCTCAAGGCGGATTCTTGGGATTCCTCGCCCGCGTCATGAAGCGCCAAATGTTCCCAAAGTATTCCCCTGGCTGCGCTGGGGCTATTGTTGCGCCATGGTAGAGACATGTAGAGACCTTGAACAAAGGATTGCACGGCTCAGAAAGTGCGGACAACCTTCGCACAAGCCAGTTCCTCAAGAATGGCACTTCAAATTTAGGCTCTTATCCGAAGCCCGGAGTTCCAAGTCATTAGCAGCAGATGCAAATCAAAGTCCAAGCAAATCTCAGTCAATCTTGTGCCAGACCTGCTGAGCCCCTGGAGACCACCACGAGATGAACAGGTTGCCGACACAAAAAAGGCGGAGCAAGATTGTCCACGGGTGGCGCAATTTGCCCGGGCATGCTCCGCCCTGTGCTCCTTCGTGTCTACGAGTCTACGAGGGCCTACCAGGGACTCAAGGGGCAGATCAGGGATCTGGAAAGCATCAGGTGCTCCAGTCGAACAGGCTTCGACGCTGACCTGTTCCAATAACCAAAATTCTGCACCTGGAAGGCAACACCTGCCAATGTGAAAGGGGTGCGTTGTTCTGCGCTGTAAGTGACAAAGGTGTTGCCTGAAAAGGTGGTGCAAGATTTCGTCCATCTATGGTATGGGTTCGAATGCCCAACAATCACAGTGCCGTGTTTATAGGTCGGGGCCGAGCGGCATGTGCGCTCTGAGCTCAGAGTGTGCGCTTGCATGTGGTTGCCCATACGTTGCACACCGCACATTCCGCAAGTGAAGACAGGACACCTCGTCAAGATTGAGTTCCAGTCAAAATTTGTGCTGCCAGATGGAGCATCCTCCTGAGCAAGACCGGGTTGTCATGTTTTTGATGACATCAGATGCGCAAAGTGTAGCGCGGGCTTGCCATGCAATTTTGACATCGATCTGGAGCGCCGTTTATACAGATCTGGACAAAAAACGTAATTGAGTATTTATTGCGTGACTCGCTGTCTTCTTGTCACCTGGCTGTAGGTTAAGCTTCGCGAGTAGGCCTATCTTCTCATGCTCAGGGTTTGCCTCATTCTATTTGTCTTGTTGTTCCTTTTCTGCGGTGGGATGCCGTCAACGGTAAGCACGTTTCTTCCGGGAAAGACAGGTGGCTGCGTTCACTGGGTGTTGCTATGTATTAGATATATTCCTGTTGCCCGTGCTTGTGGCCCTTGCAAAGAGTCGACTGATCGTCAGGAATTCATGCCTCTTTTACTTGCAATCAATACGATTGCGACATGGGACATGGGATCTTCAGCCGTGTCTGGTCATCACATTAATGCAGGGCTTGTTTTCTGATGCAGGAGCTACTTAAGTAACAGGAAGCGGAAGCGCTTCTGGGAAACTCGCCCCGAAACACTGTTTCATTGCCGGCGCCCACGGCCACCACTAATTGCCATTGCCCCACTTGCCCCACTTGCCCTACTTTCGCTTCCTCAAATTTAGATCACCAGCCAACTCTCAAAACCCCACCCCCCACCCTAGATTTTAAAAAGGGTTCTCGAGGAATCTCGAGGAGTTCTGAATAGCCAGGATTTGCCAGCTAAATGTTTGTGAACTTGCGAATTTTTGAAATTATTTGGATAGTTAGAAAAATATGCACGTGAGGAACCACGAGCAGAATAGGCTTCAATAAAAAACCCTTAACATTTCATTGTTTTTAACTACCTCAGCCATTTTTCGCCTGCCTCAGGGTGAAAAGCAGATCCTTTTTCCAAACCCTCTTTAAAGTGCTTTTGCCGTGGGTTGGGGTTCCAAAAACAACGGCAAAGTCCTCGCAAGGATGCACGCCGGTAACACCCACCACCCATCTACGCGTTCGCCCATAAGACCTTCCCAACCATGGCAGGGAGCTTTTTTAGCAGGTTTGTGGTATGGTGTCGGGAAGGCAACCAACGCAACCACCACATTCCAGGGGGGGCGGGGTTCTCACTCAGTTACAAGGTGTGGACTCCAAAGGCAAAGAAGCCTGACACAGAATGCTGCGTTCAACGGGCTTCAACTGGAGGATACTAGATGTATAGAGGAGTTGCATCTTCGTCCACCTACTCGCATCTATGGAGATCGCAGACACCCTGAAGGATTTGAGAAGTGATTGTTGCAGCCAAGATTCACCTTCGACCATATGCATTCCCCTTGGGAAAAGAAATTGTATCATTTTGTATCCGAAGTTCTGAAACTTGCAGGAGTCGGGCAGTAGAGTTGGCAGATGTTGGCAAGGTTCGGGATGGCAGCGTGGCCCAGCTCATTCGTAACGCACGTCAATCATAGGCCAGGCAGCCCGAATTCGAGTGGTAAAACAAGAAAAACAGCCCGGGCGAGTCCGCATAGAGGCGAGGCGGCAGGGTTCGGGGGGCGCAATGGGGCTTAAATGCGCCCTGGTCCTGATGCACCATCCGCTCCCGGACGGTACCTGCTTTAAGTAGCTACCAAGACACCTACGGCCCGAGGTCTCGGAGGATTTATCAGAAGCTTAGACAGGCAACACATAGTATGCGCTTGCATCTTAGATTGGACCAACGCTTACATGACGAAGACAAACGAAAAATCACGTCCCATGCAGGGATCTGCTGCAACCCAATCAATTGTCGTTGTCGATGTCAATAGCTGTTGCTGAAAGGCCGAGCGAGTTCCAAAGCTATGGGTTCGCAGCTTACTTGCCAGCGCACGCCACCGCAAGCCACTTCACACACATCAGACAAACGCTGCGACTTGGAACAGAACGGTGGATAGTTGGAACAAACGTAGCAACAAGAGCGACTGAGAAGCTCAGAGCTCGAGACCGAGCCCGGGTCCTGAGGCGCGCACGGTGCTGCGGGGCTGTCCGGTGCTTTTGCTCGTCACCGATATCCTCTTTCTGGCCGTCCACAACTTGGGTGCCTAGGGCAACTTTGGGCCACTATGGGCCACTCACAGGGCCGCTTCACTGAGTGAGCCTTTAAGCCCTTCATTGGCATCTTGTTTCAGATTCTGCACTTCCAGGTCTATCTAATGTCGCGTGGAGAGTGCGGAGCACAGCCTCTCGTACAGAACGATGAAGCAACGGAGATTCACCGACGGCAGGTATGGTAAAACCATCACGATTCTCTACTTCATTACGGCACCATTCTGAGCTTGGTGGGCAATGCATGGATGACATGGAGGGCATCACGGATCATGGATGTGTGCCATGTTTCTTCGCTATGCAGTTACCATCAGTTCTCGTTTAAATAGTCGCCGGTGGTTGATTGGCGAGTTGGTTGTCCAGTTGTGGGGCTGCAAAGCCCGTGCATCGAGGCATTTGGAATGCTTCTGGGCTGTTGTTCTCAGTGCCCTCAGAACGCTGCAGCCAGCGTCAGAAAATGTGCTTGATTCCTTTTAGATGAATGCGATCCAGTGATCCAGGTACAAATCTGGCACGACAGTGGAGTGAAACTGGTCTCACCATGTTACGTTGTCACCAGAATGGCATCGAGAGGTGCAAATGCAAAGATACCGATTTCAAGCAAATGCTGTCACTGTGCTGCGATTGAACTTTGAGCCGCTGAAGTATCAAGATGTGGAGATATGTGGAGGGTCACCTTTCAGCTGTGCGGGGCCACGCTTGACTACCTCAACGCCATTGGGACTTGCTACTTTTTATAACCAAATGATGCCAGACACAAGAATAATCCCGCACACGATCACCGGAGTCAAACACGTTCTACCATTCCCGACAAGCTCGCGACCGTAGAAACTGCCGCTCTGAAGCTAGTAAGGCACTCAAGCTACTTCTACGCCAGCAAGCAGATAAACAGCGCAACACCGTCGACACGGCTCAGGCAATGGCGTGGCTCTCCGGCCCAAGAAGTCTGCGCAACTCGGCAGGCGCACAAGAGGGCTGCTCCAAGACCTACGAACAGATTTGAAGACTTTGTGGAGTTGACTTTGGAGTTTGCGTGAGAAGGTCTGGGGCGACCGCGGTGGCCTGCAACTCCGACGTGTTGCAAGTCGAAACGTTGTTTAGCGTTGTCATGAAATTTGTCACAATATATACTTTGTCAATTTGCCAATGCAACGGCTTCGAGCCAGGTGGGCTTGGCCCTTGCAACAATAGTATGGACAGCCTGGACAGGAGGTGCCTAGAGCATCCTTTCGGGAAGCCGCCATGGCCAAGGGATTTCGTGTTTAGGGAGGCACACTGCTCCATCTGCAGCACGTGCAAGTAGGGCAAAGGAAAGGAGTAGCGCTAGCGACCATGAAAACAAGCAGTGGACGAACTACAATGACACAGCCAAGCTTCTTGGAACATGGACATGACCTCGGACATTTATGTGTGATGAGGCCTGAGCTTGCTCTTCCGACAGAGCCTAGACTGAACCGACTAGTTGTTTCACTTCTTTTTTCAGCATCATCCTTCCACATCTTTCCCCTCGCGCGTTGCTTGGCCTCCTCTTCAGCTCAACCAAAACTTCAGCGCGTCTATGGACCTTGTCTTGACTTTGGTAGCCCATGAGACCCATGAATCAGCTTCTGTGGAACTCAGGACTTTCAGTTGGTACATCTCTGTTCATCTGCTTTGTTTGAAAGGTATTTGTTCTGTTGTGTTAAGTGACCTGAGCAAGTCTCTACACACGCCGACACTTATCCCGTGCTCAATTACATTCAATTACCCCTCAACCTATCACGCCACGTACCACACGGCATCACAGGGCAACAGCATGCCTGATGCGGCCATATTGAACGCCGGCTGGCCTCTGGAGACATTTCCCTTGGGCATCGCTAATGCTAAGTCCAGGAGCCTTCACGTCTGGCGTCCGGCGGGCTGCTTGCGTGTGCTACTTACGACTGACGACATTTTATGTCCAGGTTCGATTCATCTCTTGTTAACCCAGTTGCAGAAGTTGCATGTCCTTTGAGTCTTTTGTGCTCAGGAGGAAAAGCGACACCCGCAGGCCACCAGCGAAGTGATGTTCATGTTATGCAGACGGGGCACACGGCGCCTGCCCTCTGCTGAAGGCATTTCAGCTAAAAGGTGTATGGGTGCAGCCCGGTGCAGGTGCAGCTGCATGCTGCAATGAGCGACACTTTTGACCCGTGGACTGCCTGGCCCCTCAGTGTGCAGCTGACCAGTGAAATCCAGTGCTCTCCTTACAGAGAGCTAGAGCTAGAGAATGCTGGAGAATGCTACACCAAAGATGGGCTATTCCTGTCCAAGAAAGGTAACAGGAACCGTGCAACACCACACAATGGCAACACACAGAAGGAACAACAACTGCACTCCTCGTTGCTGTTCGATTTCTCCAGATGCGAACCCAGGGTCCGTGCATGCCCCTCCCGCATGCAATCATCTGCATCACTACCGCCTTGACATTCAAGAAATAAGGGCCTGTCACATGCTGAACTATGTCGAAGCGGGGCGCTGGGACGCCGAAGCTGCCTCGTTCCTTCGCCTCCTCGCACGTGCACGCGCCTCCGCCTGTTTTTGGCGGCCTTCCTGGACGACATTTACGTCGTCACCTCTCCGTTGGACGACCTTTACGTCGTCACCTCTCCGTCGCGCGCCCGCGGCCAATTGGATGCTGTCACAGCCACCATCGAGCGCGAGGCCGGGGTCGCTGCAAACCTTGGCAAGACGCGCGTGTACCATGCCCGTGGCGGCCCTGCGCCGCCGGGCATAGGCAAGCTCGGCGAGGACGTGTGGCGCGGTGACAAACCCCCAGCACAACGCGGGTTCGTTGCTCTGGGCGTGCCAATTGGCCACCAGGAATTCAGGCCGCCGGAACATTACCGGCTTGATGTCGTAGGGGGTAAAGCTATTTTGGATGCAGGGATCAGGTCAGAGTTCTGATGCCGCACTTCGCTGGCTCCATACTAAGACATTGCTTGCTGAGTGGACTGTGCAAGACCGTGTACCGTGCTCCCCACTTCAGCGTGTGCAGGTCAGAGAGTCTGGACATGTCTGGACTGTTTGCTGTAGCTTTGGCTCAACAAGAGTTCTCGGGGTCTTCAGATGGCCCGAGGGTCGGTTTGGCACTGAGGACGACACCCTCAGCCTAAAGTGGTGCGGTTCGGGAGCTCTCTTATTGAAAACGTGCTTTTGCTTGACATTTGGGGGTTACTGAGAGGGGAAACTGAGTAGGTGGGCGCAAAAAGTGCTCTTTGTGGCGAAGGCGATGGGCAAATGGCCGAAGATGTTCTTATGGTGCGAATTGCCTCGGAAACCGGGTTGGGGGGAATGGGCTGTGGGCTGCCCCGGGATTGGTAGGTGCTTACCTTTGCTTACCGGTGCTTTCCGGGGCGCGCCATCAGATAAGGTCGGGGAATGTCGTGGCTAAGGAAAACCTTCGGGGAGCACCAAGATTTGAAACCTGCTTATGGTTGGCGACGCTGCCACGGTACACATTGTTGCACAGTGCACCCGGCAAGAGATGTCATCTATACTAGCTGCTTCACCCCCCGTTTCGCGTGAAATTTCATGGATGTCTTTGACTTCCCACATCAGAAAAAGGTCCAACATTCGCGTGAAATTGGTCACTTAAGAATGTAGTGATCGTGGCCGGAAGTACTGAAGTACATGTGCTGGCGGCAGCTTACACCATCTACAGATCCCGAAACATCTCAAGACCATTGAGAGATAAAGTATCAGAAAATCTTAAGCCTCTCATTACATTGAACACCCTGAATGTCTTTTACAGCGGCAGAAGTTCAGGTTCTGGAGATCTCTCCGGATGCTGGCGTTGATGAGGATTGTGCCGACTTCCACATTTGTTCGCGCAACTTCGCACACTTGCACTGCTGCTCCTTGTGAGAGGCGAGGAAGGCCTACAGAAAGCTGGCAGCAAAGCTCGGAGCCTACCCTCGTGTCCCATGGATCGGGCTTGGGCATGTTGGGCAATTGTTAGGCAGTGTTGTGCCTTCTGCGCAAAGACTTTTTAAAGCAGTTTCTTGACAGTACTGCAAAGCTTCGATCCAGGTATCACCCCGACGTGGACTCGTCTGAGAAAGCCACGGCCGGGGCATTTGAGAGAGCAGACATCACGACACCCCTGTGATCCTCCCTGATCTTCTTGGACATGCTGCCAGTCTGCGCTTTAAACCCGTGCTTTGCAGGACATGTTTCAGAAAGTTGTCCGTGCTCTGGCCATCATTACCGGCGAGGACCGGTTCGATGCGGATGTCCAAAATGGGACAAGGGCCCCGATTCCTCGAGTCGAGGACAAGGATCTGGATGAGACCACGTTGCTGACCAACGCTGCGAACAACTTGCGTGCCGAGCGCAGAGTTTGCAGCAATTGCAAGTTGATTTGCTGGACTTCAAAAGGTGCTACCGCTGTCCGATCGAGCTGCCAGGCGATAACATCGAGTTCCAAAAGGAACGTATTGAGCGGCTGAAGCAGCAGGCCCTTCGATGTGGCAAGCAGAATGAAACTTAGTACCGTTGCTTGACATGTGCTGTTCAGCAAAGTGAAATCTGCGAAGTTGCCTGGTATGGTTAGTTTATGTTAGTTTGCCAACTCTAGTGTATCTAGTATGCTTCAAGGGCCTTCAAGGCAAATAAGCCATCCTTGACTTGCGCTATTGGCTTATAGGTAACCAGCCTGCCACTGCACTTGCACTTCGGCCACTGCTCTTACCTCCCATACATATATATATATATATTATTTTACTTTTGCATTTTGCGGGCTATGTCGCGCCAGTCCTGGGGTCACTCCGCAGAAGGAATTTTGCAGTTGGTGGCAGGCAGCTGAGGAGGAGAAGCGCGTGGAAGCCATGGAGGACGCTGGCACTTTCTTGCCATGGCGGCACTGCACGACTGGTCACGACTGGTAACCGCTACAAAAGCTGTAGAGAGGAACAGCAGAAGAAAGCAGAAGCCAAGCGCGACCAGGCGAACTTCCATGTTGCACCGAGAGTTGGAGTTGAGATCTTCTACGACCCATTCCAAGCAAACAAAAACATTGAAAAGCGTGATTGAAAAACAGGTGAGTGGCGAGCTTGGCCTCCTGGGTGGTGGGTTGTTGGGATTCTTTGCTGGTGGACCCGCAGGCCTGGTCTCCGGCAGCGGAACGTGAATGTGAGCTTATTGTGCCATATTGTGCCTTGTGGTAATACAAGAGACCACATGCGCTTGCGCATCAGTCCTTGTGTGTTCTGACCCGGCAAACAGCTCATCAGCATGACGCATGAGATGTTGTTGCATTTAGAACATTGCAAGGATTGTGCAATCATGATGGCATTACCCGCCACATTCGGGATCAAAGGGATGTGGTGGGTGGGAATTTCATTCTTTTGCGGGTTACGCTCTTCACTTCCTGTACATTGACCACATTTTTTTTCAAAGCGGGGTGTGATATGGATGTTGGAGGGCAGGGGTTACCTGCCTTCGCCCCTTCGTCTCGCGCGGGAGACGTCTTGCAGCAGGCCGTGAACTCAGGAAATTGTTTCGTGGGATTACCACGGCTTCCCTGGGATGCGAGTACTGCTGTTGGTCAAATTTTAGGTACAGGAAGTGTGGCACCTTGGTTAAAGGGGCCTGTAGTTCCTAGGAACTTTCCTGTAGTTTGCAATGGCTCCGCAACTCCTCTAGATCGGTCCACATCAGAGCTGAAGCGTGCTGCCGGGACGAAGATCCACATTTGTTTGGATGATCATCGTGATATTCAACGGGCGAGGGTCCTCAAGATGATCTGCGATTTGATTTTGATGTTTGAACACAGCAGCATACTTGGGCAACAACTCTTAGAGGCAGAGCGCTCTTTATCCTCGAGGGAAAAGATCATGCAAATTTTGTGTGATGCTATGGCTCGAAAGAGCACTTCAACACTGGAGACAAGAGCAGGGTCTACTGCTTTGTACGTATCATGGTTTCGCAAATCGCCCAATGCTTCAGATGCCTTGGTCATAAATGAGAGCCTTGTGTACGATTATTTTTGTCATATCAGGGAGACTTTGCCCTCGGCCACCAGAGCGAACACCTTCATGTCAACGGTCGCCTTCCTTCGTCATTGTGTAGGTTTTGTGGGATTGGACGATGTCTTGAATTCTTCCAGATGTTTGGGGCTGGCACACACACTGCTCCTACTGAAGCGTCCTACAAAGTTCTCTCAGCCATTTTGCCCTTGGATTGTCGCTATCTTCGAGGTCGCGGCTATGTATGGCGCCGATCTGCGAATGAAGGCTGAAGCCGGCCTCATCTTGGTCGGAACCCATGGGCGGTTTAGGGCTTCGGACCTGAGTTGCATCAAGGCTGGAACCTTAAGTGAAAAATTCTTTGAGTGTGAGCTGCTTTCGACAAAGACATCGCGCAGATCTGCAGTAAGGGCACGTACATTTCTCCCGGGCTCAGTTTTGAGACGAGGCCTCCTGGGTCTTGATTGGGTGTCTGAATTCCTCAAGGCTCGAGTTGCTCTGGGGTTCATGACTTTGCCTTCAAAGGGCCAAATCTCTCGATCATCTTCTACGGATTTTGTTTTGTTGCCATCCGAGAGAAGTGCAAGCAGTGAAGATTGTATATCAATGGAGTCTGCAGAGATCACGGCCGCCATCCGGCGCATTCTCGGCCACGTGATGTGCCCTGCTGATGCGTCTGCGTTCACGTCGCATTCCATGAAATCTACATGGCTTCATGCTTATAACCAGTGGGAAGACAACTATGACATGCAGTCCCTCCTTGGTTACCATGTGGTAAAAGGTAGAAGTTCTGCTGTGAATCATTCACGGCAAGCTTTGAGTGTTCCTATGAGGAGACTGGAACACATGATTGAAGAGATTAGGACGGGTCAATTCGTTCCGAATGCGGAGGGCAGTGCCGAGTTCTACGAGCCCTCCCAGGCTCAAGATATCAGAAGACGCATGGAGCTGTGCACCGGACTTAGTTTTTCGCAGATCTCAAAGGCTTTCGGCGCTGCAGACGCTGATGAAGTGGGGGGCGTAGAGTACAGCCCTACAACAGCTGTGACAGAAAGCGAGTCACAGCATGATGCCGAATCTGGGGCAGAGCGCATTAGATCTCTGTCCCCAAAGAGGCGTAGGATGAATGATCAAGATGAGTCAGCATCTGAAGACTCGAGTGAGAGCTCGGATGATTCAGCGAGCTCTGTCAGTGATTCTGTTTTCGTACATGTGGAATCTACTCACCTGGGTGACAGAGTGAGAAATGTTGCGCGGCATTCTGCACTCGCAATGCTTTTCCGCCACAAGACTAGGCGCACACTGCATTATGGGCACGACCACGATGATACGAAGTTGGCGTGCGGGAGAGATCGGACCAGTGCCTTTGTTACGTTCAAGGGTGACTTTGAACAGGCCTGGCCGAAATGTAAAGTGTGCTTCGGCGCCTAGGAGCCGTTTGGTCCAAGGTTATTGGCTCAAACTTTGGCTCAAAATTCGTTTTGGCTCTTACCCGGTTCCCTCTTTGTGTGCCGTTTGAACCGTGGAAGGGTGATGGTCTTGGCGAGCTGCAGTGTGTCCGCGTCGTACGAACTGACGAATTGTGGATTGCGCGCACAAACAGATGTGAACAAGAGCGCGATGCTTGTGCAAATGGACCTTTGAGCAAGTTTTCGCGCGCGTGCCGGTGTGAACGCGTAGCGTGTTGATCTGGAGGGCGCCAGGCTCAGAGTATAGTTGTTCTGTTGTGTTGCCTTCCACACTTGCGTCAGCCATGCTAGATTCTCAAGCTGCGTTCCGTGCGCGAGCCAAAGAGATTGGCTTGAATGATGGGGAAATTGCAGTGTTGACGTCAGAGTCTCATGACACGTTCGGCACCTTCGCCTTCGCCTGCAACTACGTCCCCGGGCAGGCTGATGAAGGGCCACTCTTGGCGTTGGCAGCCAAAATGACGGCTACCGACCCAGCCCCGCCAGCACGCATTCCCTTCATTAGGCGCCTGGTCTTTGAGGCCTACACCCTAGCAGCGTCAGACCTCAAATCACGCGTTGAGAGGCGTGACGACGATGCCCCTCGCAAACTTGCTGTAGCAGAAAGGGCAGCCAGGCACACGGAGCAAGCCAATCGACTGCGAGGCCTCACGCTTCGCGGGGAGCTGGAGCCATCGAATGCCCTGATCGATTTGGTCACCCAGCAGGTGGAGGACAACCAGCTGAGGTACGTCAGATGGGAGCAATGCACTAAACGAGATCAAGAACTCATGGGAATAAAGTCGGATCCTGTGTGGAAGCCTGACTCAACTGGGGTCATCAAGGAAGTTAAGCTGCCGTCGGACCTCAAGGCAGACTTAACGTCAGATCTCATGCTCAGGTTGGCGCTTCAGAGACGCTCCCTGGCGTATGACCAAACCCGCATCATCGACTATGACGTGATGGAAGAGTGGTCTCAAATTCTTTTGGAGGCCTACGTGAAGCCGGCTCCGGATGGGTACTCTAAGGTCAGCATCGAGCAAGTCCACAAGGCCGACCTGGAGATGTTCAAGCACATGATGCGAGCCACTCGCACGGGTGTCAAAATCAGGAGCGATGGCACAAAGCCATTGGAGGAGGCATTCCGTGAGGCTAAGGTTGCCCCAGACGTCCGACTGAGCTTACAGCCTTTGCCGGAAACTACGGGAACGAAGCGGAAGGCAGATGACTGCCAGGAGTCAAAACAGAGGCCCAAGGGACACGCGGACGTTGAGAAGTACCAGCGACAGATCCGAAACTTACAGGGTCAGGTGAAGAACCTCCAAGCCAAATCGAAGGGCAAGGGCAAGTCCGCTTCGGCGCGTGCTGACCGAGTCATCAAAATGCCTCGGAAGCTCATCGGGCAGTCTCCGGTCAACGAGGACGGCGATAACGTGTGCTTTGACTTCAACCTCGACGGATGCGACAAGGCCAACCCAGGCGAAAGATGCCCGAAGGGCTGGCATGTGTGCTGTAAGCATGGATGTTTCAAGCCCCACTCATTTTCGCAACACGGCAAAAAGTCGTGACTATCTCCAAGTTCGAGTCAGGAAGGGGGCGCCAGCCTCCGTGATGCGTCACTCTTGCCCGGAGAATCACCGGGTACGGAGGAGAAGTGTTTCAACGTTGCTGCATGTTTTTCCGAGCATCCCAAACGGATGGAGCTTCAGCCGGAGTCACCTTCAGTTGGGTCCAATGCAGAGCCTCATCCAATCCTTGGGAAATCCAATTCTTCATGTTCTTTTGCCAGGCCAAATTCTCTGACGAACCTTGAGCCTATGCTGTTGCCAGCTCATGAGCCTCGCCCAATCCTTGGGAAATCCAATTCTTCATGTCGTTTTGCCGAGCCAAATTCTCTGAAGGCTCTTGAGCCGATGCCTATGCCAGCCTATGTGGAGGGATCTGCTGTTTCAGGACTGTGCTGCCTGCAACTGTGCGCAGGTGCCGGCAGGCTGAGTGCTAAACTCAGGCACTCAGGGTTCAGAACGATCTCTGTTGATCATATTGTTGATCGCCGATCAGTGCACAGATCTCTTCGTCTGGACCTCAGCAATCCTTCCTGTCTTGGTTTCCTGCGTTCTCTTCTGCTCACTGAGAAAGTTTGTTTTGTGCATGTGGCCCTGCCATATGGCACCTGCAGAACTGCACGTGCCGAACGAGTGCCGAAGCGCTCGCGGTTAGTCAAGGCCAGACCGAAATGTCGGACCCTCAGATCTCAGACGCACCCGGAAGGACGGCCCGACCTTGAACCTGGCAGCTCTAGAAGGGTAGAGGCTGCGAACCGTATCTTCAAACATGTTTGCAAGTTCTTGACGCTTTGTTGCCAGCTGCGGATTGCCGTGACTCTCGAGAACCCCTCCAGGTCCTTCCTGTGGCAAGTGCCTTGCGTTCGGACGTTGGCTTCGCGCTTTGCGTTGTTCCCTGTCAAGTTCCAGGAGTGCATGTGGGGAGGAAAATCTGACAAGTGGGTGACATTTCTCACGAATTGCGTGGAACTCAGTTGCCTGGCCAAAGCCTGCGACGGCAACAATCAACATGAGTCATGGCAACTTGTTAGTCAGGCAAAGCGCGGATTAGCGTCAGCTTATCCCATGCCTCTCTGCTCGGCAATCGCCAATGCAGTTTTGAGTGCTGCAAGAGCTGCAGGCGCAGTGTTTGAGGAACCGCCTGAGGGGTCCGCAACAGCCAGCGACGAAGTATCATCCGGGCTGCCTCTCCGTGTTGAGGCTCACAGGCAGCCTAGGGGCAACAGGCTTCCTCCTGTTGTTTCTGAAGTTGTTGACTGTCGTTGGGTCTTCTGGGGTCCTACTCGGCCACCTCGAGGTTCTTTCCGGTTGGACGAAGTTACTTGCAAAAGGCTTTCGGTAAATTTTCCTGCCAAGGTGCTTCAGTGGCGTGAAACTGGGGAGGACTGTTCAGCACCGCCCCACAACTCGGAATCTCGCCACATCGGGTCAGAGCCCCCCTCCAAGGTGTTTGAGGTTCTTGTGGGAACTTATCGCTCAGGCCTGCAATTCTTGCATGAAGCGCTGCGTCTGCAGCATCCGTTTGACTCTGCTGATTCCCTAAGCGACGACATCAAGCGGGCGATCTTCCAGATGCTTACGCAAGGGCCGTCCGAGATGCAGCGCTGGCGTGAAGCCACACTTGGGTACTATAGGGAAAGGGTGGCGCAACTCGATGCCCAGGAAGCTGAGCTACATGGCAGGCTTTCAGAAGCCCGCCAAAAGGTCATTCAGGGCAAGCGCATCCTCCTTTTCAATGAGATGGCGAGGGATGCAGGGCTTGAAGACCCAGAGTTGTTTCATTGCCAAGTCGTAGGGTCTAGCCTGGTGGGTGAGGAGCCACCCTGCCCGTTGTTCAGTGAAGGACGTGACTCCGCTGTGATCTCGGTAGAACAGTTGATGCTAACGGCGAAGTGGACTCATTCGTCGGACCATCTACCGCGGGGAGGGTCTCCTGAGATGCAAAGGCAGGTTTGGGACGCTTCGCTTTCGGAGGTCGAGGCTGGATGGCTACAGGGCCCGTTGAGTCATCAGCAGGTGGCCGACATGGTTGGTCCACTGTATGTGGTGAGCCCGAGGTTTGGCCTCCAGCAGTCAGATAAGCTGAGGCTCATAGATGACCTCAGCTGCTCTCACGTGAATCAGGCCTTCTGTTCGAATCTCAAGTTGGACCTGGGAGGAATTGATGAAGTCGCGGTCGTGGCCAGGACTTTCCTTGAGATGATAAGCGATGACGGGATGGTGTCGTGCACCCTCTGCGACGGTACCTGCTTGAGAGGCCCGTTGTCCTCAGAGCTTTCCGTTCAGGATGCCAGGCGCCTCGTAGGCCGCACCCTGGACCTGGAAGCGGCCTACAAGCAATGCTTGGTCTCCGAGAGCTCCTTGTGGGCGTCTGTGCTGGGCATTGTGAGCCCATCGGGTTCCCGAGAGCTTTTTGTCTCGCATGTGCTTCCTTTTGGTGCTCGCGGGTCGGTCGGAGCATTCAATCGTGTGTCCCGAGCATTGCACCTCATAGGTTTGCGGCTGTTCGGTTTGGTCTGGTGCAACTACGTGGACGACTTTCCTCAAGTCTCGTTGCAGGCATTTGGGTCTGCGGATCTTCACACAGCCGAGTCCTTCTTGGACTTAGTGGGATGGCGGTTTTCGACCAAAGCAAAGAAACGGTTGCCTTTTTCCGTTCAATTTGACGCACTAGGTGTGACCTTTGATTTGTCCTCTGCTGCTGAGGGGAGAGTCTTAGTGCGTAACAAGGAGAGCCGAGTGCAACAGCTCTGCGAGGAAATTGATCGTTTGCTGCAAGGAAGTATGCTTAATCAGCCTCACGCGGCCTCAATCATGGGACGCCTGCATTTTGCTGAGTCTCAGTTGTTTGCCAAGGCTTCCGTCCATCGAATGAGGTTATGTCACGCACGTGCAGCCGGCAAAGTGTCAACCTTTCATGTGAACGGTGTTGTGCGCCAGGAGCTGGAGTGGGCCAAAGAGTTTCTTCGAACGTGTCCGCCTAGACAGCTTCGAATCCGAACTGCTGAGAATCCTGTTGTGATTTTCACCGACGCTTCCCTTGAATGCAATAGCTCGGTAGGCCAGGTAGGAGGAGTTCTAGTCTTTCGAAACAACGGCTCCCAAGATCACCCTGTACATGCGTATTTCTCAGACCAAGTGCCGCCTGAGGTGCTAAAGGAGATGCAGCGCCACACAGATCACGTGATAGCTGCGCTTGAGATGTTGGCAGTGCTCATTGCGGTGCACCTTTGGGGGCCTATGCTCCTATCGAAGCGATGCTTCTTCTTCGTCGATAACGACTCGGCGAGAGGAGCCCTCATTGCATCGTACTCTCCATCTTTGCAGCTCAACAAGTTGATGACGGTGTGGACCCAGATGGTCATGCAACATTCGATCTTTCCATGGCTGTGCAGAGTGCCGAGTGCCAGTAACATAGCTGACGCTCCATCCCGTGGTGAGTGTACAGAGGTAGTACAGTTAGGCGGAGCCCAGCATCACATCAGCTGGTGCGTTGTCAAGAAGTGGCTGCAGCATGTGTAAATATCAGGCGAGCATGTATGTGTGTTCAGGGTTTTGGTTTGGCATGCGTCCGTGCTTGTGTTGAGTGGGGTGACCTTGCACGTTCGCGTGCAGGCACAGAGGGGGTTACCTCCACGACTTTCTGCAGCCCTCTTGTTTTTCGGAATGACTGGCTACAGACTTCGAGGTTTGCCCCACTTCAGAAGTAAAAAGAACGGTGCATGCTGCACTGCCCTTCTGGTGCTCGGATGGCGGATTGAGCATGCTAACCAAATGTTCTAAATGTCCGCGGTCGAGAGAAACGCAAGAGACCACATGCGCTTGCGCATCAGTCCTTGTGTGTTCTGACCCGGCAAACAGCTCATCAGCATGACGCATGAGATGTTGTTGCATTTAGAACATTGCAAGGATTGTGCAATCATGATGGCATTACCCGCCACATTCGGGATCAAAGGGATGTGGTGGGTGGGAATTTCATTCTTTTGCGGGTTACGCTCTTCACTTCCTGTACATTGACCACATTTTTTTTCACCCTGCCCTCCCGCCCGGGGGTGACCTTGCACGTTCGCGTGCAGGCACAGAGGGGGTTACCTCCACGACTTTCTGCAGCCCTCTTGTTTTTCGGAATGACTGGCTACAGACTTCGAGGTTTGCCCCACTTCAGAAGTAAAAAGAACGGTGCATGCTGCACTGCCCTTCTGGTGCTCGGATGGCGGATTGAGCATGCTAACCAAATGTTCTAAATGTCCGCGGTCGAGAGAAACGCAATGTAGTACGTACCTTTCAGTCAGGGCAGTTGCGCAAAGGCGAGTTGCAAAGTTGGTCTTACGGAAGAAGTTGGAGTAGCTCTGTCCTTCAGGTCAACATGTTTGGGTTTGACGATTTGGTTTGCCCATTTTGGCCTTGACAGGGGTAATCGTTCCCACAGCGTGACGGCCAGGAAATTTGTCCTGTAGCATCACGCCATACAGAGACAATTGAGCGGCGTTCCTTTTACCTCCTTAGTACGGAACCTTGCGACGTGCTGGGGCGGAAGCTCCGAAGTTCTCAAGTTGCACAGGTGCGGTTATGAACGTCGGAGTTAGAAGATCAATGATATCTGATAGTCACAGAATTCACAGAGTCACTGTCAGTCGAGTCAGTGAGAACAGGCAGGCTTGGTTTAGCCAAGATTGGCTGTAACATCTTTGGAAGTTTTTCGTGCCAATCAAGGGCAGACAAGGACAAGTTGAAAAAGAAACAGCAAAAATCTTCCAGGCTGCCGCCATCTACTGTGATTAGCATTGACGCTCAAGTCAGGTTTGCTGCTGGGTGCCATCATCGGCATCACCTTGAGCAAGCGGAACGACAGTCTTGGGAAGGCCCTGTTGCTGATAATGAGGAGGGCTTCGAACGTTGCAACAGACATGTCCAAACTGTTATTCCTTGGCACCTTTTGGAGAGCCATGTGGTGACAACTTAGGTCATCCGCGGAACAGGGACAGTGACAAGAGGAATGTTTGATGCTGTCAACAAAGCTGCAAGCAATGACGGCTCTGCATCGTGAGATGCTGGGCAGCTTTTGCGAACGTCATAGTGAGCTACTGAGAAGGACTGCAGGTGTGTTCTGCGTGTGTTTTGACCACGATACAGAAAGCAGCGAGACCGATTTGTATTTTTTTAAAAGTTCAGTTTGCAGAGCGTAGTCCTTTTATGGATGGAGCTGGCATTTTCGGGCTCTGAAAACTAGAGCACAAAGTGCAATCAGTTTGTGTGTCTCAAATGGAGCGGCTCTCATCCACGAGGATTCTGGGACCTCGCGAAGGTTTGCGGATGCTTACACTGGGCGTGGGGTGCGCAGGAGAGCCATCAAGTTCGCTGATATCTGCCAGCATGACGCACTATTTTGAGAGCTTCACTTGCGTCGATACACGCACCCAATTGTTGACTTGCTCACAGGCCAGACATAAACTGCGTAGCTTCTGCCGCATAGACCTGTTCCGTGTAGTCTACGAGATTCTCAGCTCATTACTTGTTCACACAGTGCCGATGCTCTCTGGAGAAGCATTGCAGAAGCCAGCTCTTCGTCCTTGGTGCAAGTTGGATTAAGATCTTCAGGACACTGTCTCTGAATCAGATGAGCACCTTTTTAGTGCCCTGCTGTCCATGGAACTCCTTGTATTCTTCGCCTCGACGTAACACGACAGGCTTGGTTGTGCTTGCCTTGTTCTTGTGCTGCTGAATGGTGTGGAGCTGATGGACCGCAATGGCACATTCGGAACAGTCAGCACCACAGAATGTGGGATCCTGAGTTATCGATCGGAAGCAGACTCCCAAGTGCTGATTGTGTGAAGCATGAAGTCGGCCCGTGCGAAGGTGATCTTGCTGCTGCCACCTGGCCTGGCCAATTACACGTGGAGGTGCCAGTTGCCATGAGTAGCATGCATTCGCCGAATAGCCAAGCTTTTCCACAAGTTTCAGCATCAAGTTCCAGCAACCGCGCAAGGCTGCGCGGAGTCGAGACGCAGAGAGCCTCCGAGGCCGTTTTGAGCCAGCTGCCCCAGGCGCATGTCGCTTGACTACGGGGTGTTTGATGGGGCCCACGGGGTGTTTGATGGGGCCCTTCTGATGGAGCCTGCGGGACTACCGCTGTAGTGCTGGTGGGGGATACTGAGTACCGCCCCTTCCCATTGCCTCGATTTTCCGGTCTCCCGTGCTCAACAGAGGTCTAGACTAGACGCACAAATTCGCGCGACCCTAAACTTTAAACTCCCCTGGACACATGGTGCATGCGTGAGTGCATCTAAGTGAGATCTGAGTCTGGTTGTCAAGGTCCATTAAACGCACAAGCCATCGAGAAAGAAAGGGGAATCCTTCCCACAAAAAGGGAACTTGCCTTCGTTTTCTTTGGGAACAGTTCTTTGAACAACTGCCACATGAATTACTGTGAGAGATTGGGGGAGTGGGCTGATCTGTGGCAGGACTGGCCTTCCAGCTCAGACGGTCTGCGTGCGGTCAGTATCATTGTGAGCCCAACTCAGCTGTCACGTAACCCCTCAGTGGCTGCCGCGATTGTCTGGCACCGCTTGAAACTGGCCGTTCAGGCGCGGTCAGTCTGCCATCGAGATTCAGAACGCCTTGCACATCATACTCAGGCTTGAGGGGCAGATGGGCCATGACGCCATTGTTGATGCAACGTGGTGGTCTCTCACCGGGAGCAATGTACCAGGCGAATGGAAGATGCAGTGCAGCCCTCACCTGCCGAGGGAGGGGACGGCAGCATCGCCAGTGCTTGTTGTCGGAATTCGCAGAGTCTTTTTGGGGTGTTCGGTGATGTTTGGTGCACAGCACCTTTCGGCATGATCCGAATGCAAGTTCCGAGGCGACGACCCCGGCCCATGCGAATGCGAGGCTCAGGGAAATGGCCTTGAAATGCCTTGAAACCGTTTGTCAAATTTTTCGCTCACGAGCGAATATATGGCATTCTGGGTTGGCGTGGAAAAGACATGTTCTAACATATCTAATGATCTAACGCTGTGACCCTCTGCTCTTTGGCTTTCGTAATTTGAATTTGACATCATATGATATCATTCACTTCTCTTGCTCCGCCCCAGTGGACAACTTGGCCTGGCCGCGCAGCTGACGCCTCGGGCTGCCTCGGAGCTGCGCCGGGAGCGCGGGAGCCGGCTGAAGGCCTCATTCAGAATCGGATTTGTGGGGTGAAGGCGCCAACTTTGGGGGGACACACTGACTTCCCTTCCCCCCAATAGAGACACACCCAGCACATGGGCACGTTCATTCACTCAGAATTCATCGCTCACTTGGAGAAGGCTTTGTGCCGCAGCTGTCCCAGCAGATTGAGAGCCTCCCTGGTGTGCGCCTTGGCTGCTCAAAATGCTCAAGTCCCCAGTTTGCTTTTCCTGCTCGGAGGCTGGGCATGAGCCTCCACTGCTACTTCTGTCGGGATTACCAGAGGCAAGGCCGGATGAAAAGTTTCTTTGCGCAAGTCTCTTTCTGAGATGCTCCGTGGAGGCGCTGCATGCTGCCCTGCCGCAGGCACATGACACTGAAAGACGGTCGTCGATAGTAGGCCCCTTGTAGGCCCAGTGTAGGCATCAGTAGCGCTCCCTGTTCTTCAGGTGAGAGACCTGCTGCAGCCCAAGCCAGGCGGGCAAAGGGAATTCTTCCATGATCCACCACCTTGTCAGATCACCGTCCATCATATCGATGGGCTGCCAAGCAAACGGCCGACCCGTCGCAGTATGCTGTGAGGCATGGAAAAGAGAAATGTGTCCCCAAAGGCCCGCAAAATTCCAAAATTAATAAGCGCGCTCTTAAAGCAGAAGACCAGAGATAATCCAGACACAGAGTCGGAGACAGGCTGGGCTGAGCGGGACGCTGTCGGCCACTCATACTCCTCAATGGTCGGTCACTTCTGGCATCCATAGATGATGCCTTGTGCGCAGACAGCCAAGACAGTGTTTCAACTGTGTTTCAAACGTGCTCGAACGTAGTTTTTGTGAGATCTCAAGGCGCTCCCTCCGCATGTGCCTGTGCAAAGTCCGATGCCCTGTTGGCGATCTTGGGGAGACGTGCGGTATCGTGCGAAACTTGAAGCGACTTCCCACGAAGGTCCTCCGCCTGTACCGGCAGTACCAATTGGTGACTACAGTCTCTGGGTATGGCTGAAAAGCTTGGACGAAGGAGCGAACTTTGCTGGTAGCAAGCGTCTTGTTCAGAGCCTTGTTCCTTGTTCGTATCTTGACGGCATTGTCGATACACAGCCACAGCCTGAGCCTCTTGAGCCGCAGCAGGCGTTGAGTTGGCGCCCACTGCCATGATCTTGCCGTAGAGCAACTAGAGTCACTAGAGTCTAGAGCCTAAAGGCTGTTTAATGGCTATGATGTGCTGCTGAGAATGGTAGCGAGCCTGAGTGCACATGTTCTTGCCAGCAAGGCGAATGCAAAGGCTTGATGAGGCGTGTAGAATCTGGATAAATGCTGTGCCGATGTGTTGTGAGCCTCTTGTGAGCCTTCCTTGAAGGAGTTGGAGAGATGCTGATATACTGTGAACGCCTGAATGAGCTTTTTCAGGCGCCGGGTTGCGAAACGCTTGCAAAACGCAAACATGCTTCCTGCATCTTGCCAGAAGACACGCTGTAGTCAGTAGCCGGGTGTGTTCCTCCAGATGCGTACAGGGAGACAGGGCTCTCTGGCACCTACCCGGTTCGATACCACATGCCTGGACTGATCGTCCAAGTGTTCCTACCTACCAAGTCTTGTGGCATCCTTACTTGTGCAAGCTGTACATGGGTTAGGGGGTGAGTGGGGTGGCGGCGTGGGAGGGGACGGCAGAGCCCTAGGAAGAGGATTAGGTGGTGAATTGTCTGGCCAAGACACCGGCGATTCAGGCACCGAAACGTACAAGGACGATTCGAGCAGCAGCGGTTCGAGACATGCACCATCGCAAAAAGCACCGCCACTTCTTTTTTCATCTCCTAGTTTACGGCTTTGCGTCCCCTAGCACCCCCCCCCCCCCATATGTTCTGGTGGGCTAGGCCTCTAAGGCTTTGCACTCACCATCTCACCTCTTTGTCGACTATTCAATACTTCCTTTGGGTTTAGAGCTCCGGCTCAAGCATCACCGAGCGAAGCAACACCATGCTTAGAAGCAGATTCCGAATTTGTCTTTGGCCCCTAAACCCCTTGTCCCTAATCCCGAAACCCCTGCGAGACTGAAGGTTGCACGGCTTAAGGGTTTGAAGCTGATCTTAGGGCGCGGGGCGGGGAGGCAAGGACCGAAAGTGGTTTCCGCCTTTCCACTTGCGCTCAAGTCACAAGTATCGAGAGGACATGGTAAGAGTGGGCCGTAAGTGCTTCGAGCTCGCCCCAGATGAAAGCCGTTCTGAAGGCTTGACACAGACGATCGCAGAGCAAAAAACTCAATCATCTTGAAGAACCTGTAAAAGTTGACATCCTACACCCTCGCCTAAACCTTCGAGCCAACAGTCTCAGACACGGAACGCGAAACCTAAAGCTTTAAAGGCCCGTGAGTTTAATGCTGCAATGCACAGGGCAAAGTCCGAAGCAGTTTGTCAGTCTTATCGAGTTCTTCGCTGCAGGCAACAAACAAGAGGGCGTGGCCTGAAGGTTTAAGGGTGGGTGGGTGGGTGGGTGGGGCGGGCTGGACGGCAAATCCCCACATGTACCCCTGTCAGCCCATGTTCCCTTGTCGATTTTGAAACTTTCAACGTTGACTTCTTTGGAAATCCTCCAATCCCCAGAAGAGGGCAGCGTTTCAATTGAAATGTCCCGCTGGGCGTGGAGAGAGACATTTTGTAAAGGTAAACGCTTGCGCGTGCCGCCTCGGCAGCCGGGCCGGCCCCAAGAACAGGAAAGCAAAAAAAGGGGAGGAAGGGCAGAGGGTCAAAGGGGTGGGGGGGTGGGGGGGGGGGGGGGGGGGGGGGGGGGGTGGGGGGGGGGTGGGGGTGGGGGGGTGGGGGTGGGGGGGGTTGGGGGGGGTGGGGTGGGGTTGGGGGGGGTGGGGGGGGGGGGGGGGGTGGGGGGTGGTGGAGGGGTGGGGGGAGGGGGGGCAATTGTGGTGTAAGGCGGGACCCTCCACCGCGTCGGTTTGCAGCTCGTCCAAGCGATTGGGGGGGGTCCCACAGGGGGGGGTGGCGTCAGAAAATTTTGCATGGGTTGGGTTAGGGGGAAGGAGGCCCGATCCGGGTCTGCTTGTTCCAGACGCTTCTCGGCAGGAAGCCGAGGCGAATATAGCTCGAGAGGCACATTTTCCACTTATCCGGTCCTTGCCATCAGCTCGTGGTTCTGGTCTAAAGCTCGCGCTCTGTGCTTGTCTGTCGCTCGCAGCCGAACTCAACAGCCAGCGAATGCTCTGCGACACTTCATCTTGCGTTGGCGCTTGCTCGACCTTGGCAAAGAAAAAAACTCGCATGTCCAACTATGTCAATACAGTCCTTTTGATGGCATCTGCAAACGCAAGTGGACACCATGATGTTTGACGACTTTTTGTTCTTCAAAGAACTTGCATCAAAGGCACAGATCCGGTTTGGGATCTAGAATCAGTATGAAACAACGACCATCGACGTACAGCGGGATGCCGCAGCACTTTCAGCACTGCAACTGCCTTGTGCCTAACACTGAGAAGCCCCGCTGGAAATAGGAATCCGGCATTCGCAGTTCGGACGTCGCAAACCCTTGGACTCGAGCTTCCCATGGCCAGTTATTGTTGACAGGGCAGGTTATCTGCTAAACGTTGTGCAACTGTCGGTTGATATGCAGGACATCAGCCAATTGTCGGCCGTGCTTTCCCCTCAGAACACCGCTTGCGATTGCTGGGCACTAGGGGTGCGATTCGGTCGAGTTTCGTTGCATTTGCTAAGGCGCTTTGGGCCCTTCGGCGAGGTTCCAGATCCTCGCTTCCTGCAGGACGCTCATAGCCCCTGGCCCTATATGACATTGATCTCAACTCCGATGACATTATGGCCAGATCACATCCTTATGCACCATTGTCCAAGGTTTTGCCTGGGGCCTTGGGATTGTTGCATTTGTTGCCCAGCGTGATCAAAGAGGAGCTCCGAGTTCATCGCGAAGATCACCGCGAAATCTTCAGGTGCATACAGTTGGCTGTTGGTTGGCCCGCCTGATCTTGCACCACTGATACTCGTACTATTCATCATGCTTTGCGACCGAACAGTACGTACGTCTTCAAAGTGCATGTTTCCAACGTGGCCAGGCGATGGTTTCGTGAGCATGGGGAGAAGCAGAGGATAGGACAGCTTGCGATGTAGGCATGTGAAAAATCGGGAGCGGCTTTGAAGTCATGCAGTGCCCCGACATGCCCTCATTCTCGGAAGACAGAGCCTGGTTGTGGCATCATGGTCTGCAGCAGCATGGCCGCCACATGCCGCTAGAATTCAAGGTATCGCTGAAGGCCACACGTACCTCGATCTATGATCCAGTATGGTCCCATACTTGTAGATTGTCGAGACCATTTGGAGCAACACAACGGTGGTATGCAACACAGCAGTCGCGGAGAGCACACTCCAAAACGCAGACGATATCGCAGCTGATTGCAGTCGAATGCCGTCAATGACAGTAGCATCCTGAAGCTGAGATGCGACTCGTAGTGTCACTCAGCACAGGGGACTGTGAAATGCCTGGTTCATGCTGAAGTTGGTCGCTTAGAGGCGTTCAGGCAAGTCTCAACTTTGCCTCTGTAGCAGCGTGGACGAGGTCCTGCGTGAATTTTCTCAGCGCAAAGTGCTAAGGCTAAGGCCTACACCGCTTACGCCTCTCAAATGCGAACACACGAGCGTAGAAGGGATGAAGCATGTCTGCAGCCTAGCACTGCTTAGCTGAAAGCAGCTGCGGGAGTCCAAATACCTAGTGACCTAGTGACCTAGTGACCTAGTGACCTAGTGGCGAGGCATCTGCTGGCTCAGAATGGGTTCTCCCACTCGCGGTCGCCGGCTTCTCAGAACCAACTAGCCTATCCAGATTTCGGCCTAGCGATTCCCAGCGATTTGCTTCGACATTGTGGTTGATTGAAGGTATGTTTCTGGCCAGGGGCGGCTACACAGACTTCAACATCAACCACGCAGACAACTGTTACATCCACCGTGCCCGATACGTTTATGTGGCGTGGACACTGTTGAGGCCTGCTTTCGAGAGTACTCTGAGCTGCAGGTACCACCATACCAATATTTTCAGGGCGACTGGTCGACATGTTCGGCGACCTGCGCAGTAGGCACACGCACGCGCGAGGCGCGATGGCACCTTCATGAAGTGTCGAAAGCTGTTTCATCTGCCCATCTCGGTATGTCATGGCAGATGGTCGTGGCAGGTCTTCTGCTATGAGACCTGCAGTGTACCTCAATTTTGCGAGGTTGCAGAGGCATTTTGTTGCTTCCTAAGTATGCTGGCGCTTTGCTATGCTGGGTTTATCGCGTGCTTTCGACCGCCGTTGTCTCAACGTGGTGCAGTGCTGAGAAGCTGCTCGCTGCTTGGTGACCCAAGATTTCCAAGGTCGAGATTCTCCAAAACCTGCGGACTTCGATTACTGTTGGCCGGCAGTTGTGTCCTGTCCAGCTTCTAGCTCAGTTCGCAACCGACCCCGTACTGCTCAGTCTTGCAATGCTCTCACAGGGGTAGCCGGCCTTGAAGCTGCCTGAAGCGAGAGTACATAGAGATGCTGTCACGTCATGGTCCACCTCTGCTTCCAAGGATTCAACAACCGGCACATTCACGACAACTTTCACAAGCACGTTTTCTACTAACACCCAAACGGCCAGCTCCCCAATCGAGCAGCCCTCATGTCATTGTGAGCGCAGCTGTGCCCTGGACTAGTGGGCACAATGTCAGCTCGGGCCCTTTGCAAGCTTTGTTATCTGATACTCCCTGCAGTTTGGATGAGCCTGGTGTTGTTAGTAGATGTTAATGGCGGAAGGAGGATTTCAGTACTACAGGCAAAGTGCAGCAACACACTGCAGTGCAGGCTTGCCAGGCCATGATTGAATCTATGCTGTTCGACGTTCTTCGATGACAACATGAATTCAGAAGGAGCAACAATGAGCAACAGCATGGTGACAGCCAAGGTCACATCACAAACTTCAACCCAGGGCGTGCGGCCAGGCTGGCAATGTGCCCGGAACTTGGGATGCATGCTCGAAGTATGCTTGAATTGCACGAATCTTGAGCGATGTCTGAGTGTTTTCTATACCGAGCGCTTTTGACACCCCAATCACGGCACAATCCGGGCAAGGAGGGGACAAAGGTTGGGGCAGGGGCATGTGCTTTGTGAGAGCAGAAGGCAGACAGCATTATAAGTATCATGAAAGCTAGGTCCTTGGAGCTTCCGGGAGTTTTTTTCACAACCTTCAAGGTTTGGGTCAAAGAATATCTCAAGGATTTGAGGTCACACGGGGGCCCCACCTTTTGGCCTAGCTTTCGTCCGCCCTGCGCTCAAGTGAACTATGAAGGCATGCGCAGTCAATAGCTTTGAATTGCACTTAATTGCACCGCACGGGCTGAGGCTTGGGATGCCACCACAGGATGCGTGATCGGCTCCATCGCCATGGACACAGTGCATTATGCCACGCATGTGTCACACATGTCTTTCGTGTCAGTTTCTTTCGACTTGGCGCTCTGTGGTCTTTTTCTCTTACCCCCGACGCTCTCGCGCGACTCATCTCGACCACAAAAAATTGCCCGGTGCCATGATATCACTGATTGCTGAGAAGCTACCATATACTGAGTATTCGATATCCCAAGTACTGCGGACCGGCGAATGAAGCCGTTTTTGTTTTATGGGCTCGGTCTCCGGTCGCAAACAACGCTAGATCAGTTTCATCACATCAGCATGTCGAAGAAACGAGTTAGCTGTCATCGCGAGCTAACGTACGCATTCTCCAGAGAACGCGGAGCACACCTTGCTCAGCCATGCTCTCCAGACATACTAGACGTGCTGTCCAGGATGGGCCTCTCAAAATTCTCAACTCATGTCCAGGCTCAAGTACAATGCGGATCGAACTGCCCGTGCTGTCGGCGCGCGGACGTCAAGGCCGATTTTTTGTCAGTGGAGGTACAATGAATTACTCGTGACTTCGTGAGTGACTTGCATGGTGCCAAATTGTTTCGCTGAGTCCACCACGCCGCGGCCCTTTGAGCCAACCGCGGCCCGGCTGCAATGTCACTGCTGGTCTTATGACTCCCTCATGCTAGGCTAGTCCCTTGAGCGCAATCCGATTTCGTGAACTGAGTGCACTCACTATCACTCACTGTCTTGCAAGGGATTGAGTCTGGCATTTGTCAGGATACTGGAAATGAGGTGCTGGCGGCTTATCTTTTCAGAGCGCAGAAGCCATCAAAGCAGTGACAGTCTCAGCCCTAGTTCACGAGGTCTGCAGCTGTCATTGTCATTGTAGCCTTGACATCCGCCAGGTTCTCAGACAACAGGCTTGCATCACGTTTGGAGTTGTTGGAAAAGGATTCCTGCTTCTTCTGCGAAATCGAATCGTTCGGGTTTCTGAGGCTTAGCAGCCATGGCACAGTTTGTTTTGGGGCGGGTCCAAGAATGGAACGCGTCCGCCGATCCAGCTCTGGCTCCAAATTCCAAAGGGAGATGACAACCGCTTCGAGTGTTCAAAGGGGCTGAGAGTGTTTGTGTTCCTGGCATACGACTTTGTGCAGGTCTGGAGGTTGCGAGTCCAGTGGGTCAGAGGTTGCGAGTCCAGTGGGTCAGAGAACCGGAGACAAGAAAGGGAGACAAGGCCCAGTGATTTCTACATCGAGAGAGGGGTGCATCCACTGATCTGGAGGGAAAGGCATGGAGAGAGGAGGATGAGGAGGGCACGCCCACAACGATTCGGTGTTGCATCTAAAGGCAGACAACTCGGAGGCTTGACTCCAGGAAGAGCACTGTTGTGACGTCTATCCCAAGACCTTGTCAGCCGACTCTTTCAGAAAGTCTTTTGAGGTGGCACTGGGGTCCGGTTTTGCCGTTGCTGGCTGGCGATCGTGCGCCAAATCCCGGAGGCGGGTCCAGCGTCAATGTCCGGCTTATCAAGCTGGATTACCCGGCATAAGGGCGTCGAGCTGTGATGGACAATGGCGAAGTCTTTCGGAAGTGTAGCAGCTGGTGTGATTCTTCAACTTGGCAGGAAAACCCATGCCACCGGCAGTCACGTCCCGAAGGTTGACGGGGGTACTGTGCTAGGAGATACCTAGAATTGTTCGCTCAAATTCGATCACATAAGCTCAGCTTCAGCTGTGACAGGCGGAGGCATATGGCCACGGAGATAGCCAGACCGGCCCGAGAAGGCAAACTTGATACACGACGCACGCACCTGACGCGCTCCTTTCTTTTGAAATGAGGATCTGCGAGGGCCTCTGCGAGCACAGGTAGTTTCGTGGAAGGTGCAAGCTTGCGAATTTGCCAGTGGACCACAGTTTCACTGGAATCTTGTAGTAAGCGAAACTCGTTGATGCTGCCCACACTTGAGTAGCATGCGGGCACCAAGGTGTGTGCTCATGGACGAAGGTTGCCCGTTACACGAGTGTAAGCCAGCATCGGCCATTGCCGACCCAAAGTCTTCCCATACCCCGTTAGACGACGGCGGACGGCCTTCCCCGACCACAACAGCTGCAGCATCGTATATACAACTGTCATAGCTTCGCTGTTGTTAACATTACCCTCTGATTATGTTATCTCACCTTGTTGTCCTAGTATTAGAAGGAAGTTCTTGGTTTATGTGCATATCAAGAGCCACCTGCACAGGGTGCGCGAAGAGCGTGCTGGACAACACGAAGAAGACACGGTCTACGACAGGCTGCTTGCATGAGCAACCCGGAAGTTTCACGTTCACATAGACTGCTTGCAGGAAGCTGGGCAAAGGCATCCCCTCTGCTGCTCCGGATGGCTTTTTCGACGGGCCTCCAGACTGGTCGTGTCCCAAGCGTGACTTGGAGTAGTGAAGCACTGAAGAGTTGCCGAAGAGCATTGTTTTTCTGCAAACATGTCCGGTTTATTCCGAGGATGAACGATGAGGAAATGGGTGCGTCGAGTCCAAGCAGGCGCTTTAGGACTCTGGGGACTCTATAGTACATATAAATAAATATATATGTATATATGTACATGTATATCGATTATGTTCACCACCCCATGTGTCGACGACACCTTTCCCTTTGAATTGCACGCTTTCCCTTTTGGTTTCCGTTGCTCAAAGTGACTCGTCTTCAACATGCCAACCTCTGCGGCACATGTTTGGCACATTTGTTTTGTGTTTCGGCCTTCCTGCCAGGGATCGAGCTACCAGCAGGTCTCAAACTGCCACGGGGAATCTTTTCACAGGCAGCGAAGAGAAAGAGAAGGCAGTCCTCACTTCGCTGTTGCTGGTCGGTGTCGTGAGTGTTGCGTGGCACCCTTCCTCTACCCTCCATTGAACACCGGAAGGCGCGTTCCACTCAATCCAGTCCCATGAAAAAGGGCAGGCATGACGGGGCTCTGGCTTTTCATCGCGCCATGGACAGTCATCGCGTGGCAGCTCCTTGTCTTGATGCTTTGAGGTTCATGCCAGCAGAGGCAGGCAAGGATGACAGCGACCACTTTGCACAGCAGCAGTGCGCCCAGTGCCCCCTCCCCCCCCCCCCCTTCTTCGCTTCCACTAGTTCCACGCCAGTTCCACGCTGATGCTTGAGCCGTTCATGCTATCAGTTGTACTGCCTTTGTTTGGGCACTGCATGGCACTGCATGTTCAAGGGAGTCTCCAAGAGTGAGTCCGACTTCACCTTCGGGGACTGGGGCCTGGAGACCGGAGATGAGTCAGGCTAAGTCAAAGAGCACCATGATGCCTCTTACAGTGTCCCATAGTGTCCCCATTGCCCAAGGACCCTGCCTCCTGGTTATGCATCAGCTGCACGACGCAACCGTCGCACAGGTGCGGCATGCAATGATGGGCACACTGATGTTGGGAATCTCTCGCTGCAGCTGTACTAGTATCTGCCTTAACTCCGACCTTGCATTGGTAGACTAGAGACGCTTGAAGTGCACCGAGCCAGGCAAGCAGATGCCGGACATGGATGACTTCGCATCTGTGCAAGCCTCATGCGCTGAATTCGGTTCCCAGAACCGTATTTGGAAAGGATAAACCATTTTGGCCCATGTCAACATCGGACAACACTATTCGAGATCCCATCTTGACTTGATGTTCAATGCCTTCGGTGTTTTCGTACTTTTCCTGGCAAAGCCATAGGGGCCCACCCTAAAGTGCTACTGTCAGGCTTCTGTCAGTCTGTATCTGTACGGGTGCTAATGCTCGAAAATTGATAGGCCACCATGCCTCTTATCCAACATTCAGGGTTTCTTTTTGTCAGCCGCTGATGTGGGCAATTGATTGACAGGACAGTCAGCACGTCCCTGGTGAGGCTTGGCCGGCACGTCTTGCCTTACGCACCGCATGTCCACAACACTTCCACAACATTCTGCATCGGCACAGGCGAACACAGCTTCGCCACGACAAAGTGTGTGGCCCAGAGATGGTATTGAGATGTGCTGGGTGCTGTATCCGCATTTGACACTTCTCGGAGCTGTACGAGAAGCAGCTAGCTTCAGGGCTTCAGATGCCATGCAGACATGTACAGACATGTACCGACTGTACGATTGCTCGACAGGCCACTCCAAGACCGCAGCCCCATCTGGCAAGGCACCGGGACCAGTGCAAGCTAGCACAGTACTTAGTAGTTTGTAGTTGGTCACGCCCGCGCTGGGTAACTGGTATTAACCTGCTTCTTTCTGAGTTTTTTCTGCGTGGGGTGGGGAGGGGGGGGGTTGGGGGGTGTGGAGGAGGGTCCGTTACTACGCCGACCATGCCCCAAAACACTGGCATTTATTTACAGCGGTCTTGCCTCTTTGCACAACCTGATGCAACAGGATGTTTGACGTTTCTGGAACCTGTCCAAAGCTTTTATGTCTTGTGTGAACACGGCCAAAACATGCCCAAACACTGGTATTTGCAGCGCCTGTGCCTCTTTGCACAACATAGCTCGGCAGGATGCTGGACGTGTTTGGAACAAGACGCGCTGTCACGAGCATTCCGGACTTCGCGAAAATGCCGAACACTTTGACATTTACGGCATGTCTGCTTCTTCCCACAACATATTGGACAGGGTTGTTCGTGCCGTCACAATCGTTCATTTGTTGTGAACATGCTTTAAAAACACTCACTCATCAACCGTGAAAAACAACGAACTTCTCTAAACGGAGATCGTTGCAGGGGTTTTGCAAAGAAATCCTATAGTTTGAAGAAATTTGGTTTGTAACTACTTGTAGGAAAAAAGCACTTTCAGGGGCCACGAACTCACCAGTTACCTAGCACGCGTGACCTAGTAGTTGGTAGTTGGTGGTTAGTACTACGTGGTCATTGGCAAGCAGTAGGGCGGGAGGAGGTGGCAGGTGGGAGGCAGTAGGTAGGTTAGGAATACTCGTAGCTAGGAACTAGTTCGTAGTCACAGTAGGATGCTAGTCCCCTCCTGCTGGAGCTTACGTCTCAGACGTGTTTTGCTCAGTGTCCCGGATGCTCCAGCACACCTGCAAATCATTAGCATTTGCAAGTTGAACACAGCAGTGGAGTGGAGCATGTGTTCAGATACCTTCAAAAGCACTGATGTTTGCCAATGATTGCACGCATGCTAGGCGCAGCAGGAGCAGAAGGATGAACCCCGGGGCAAGCAGGACCGCTCGCACCACGACGGCACAGTCCTCAGTACCTCAAAATTGAGTAATAGCATTGCAAATGGTCGTGAGAAGTGTTGTGGGACCATACTGTGCCACAGGAATACTTGCTGCAGATGCATTGGAAGCAACAAAGCACGTCTGATGTAACTGTTTGAGCAACGCGCGCCTTTGAACTTACATAATATGCCTAGCAGTCAGTTTGGCAGAGGCCCTCGTGCTGCGGGGAATGCTGACGATGTGTTGTGCTCAGGATATCACATCATATGAACAAAGTCAATGGGCCATCAGAGATAGCATCTCAATGGGTTCTTTTGCGGAACATGGAAGTCCACGAAGCGGCTGTCCCTGTCAACCGCACAAGCGCCCGCACAGTCTTGTCACCAAGGAGCCTGGACGAAAAAGCAAGCAGCAGAACAAGCAGGGCATGTAGCTCACCTGCAATTGACTGTGAACGCTCTGCGTGTCTGCCTCTGAAGGCTAAACGGGCCATGGGATTGCACTCTTCGAACAGTATCGAGAATTTCGAGACTCGGGAATTTCAGGGGAACATCAGAAATGAATGAAGCGTAGGACGGCTAAGACGGCAACTGAGCTCTTTCGGCTTTTGGGTGTTGTCAGTGGATCGACAGACGGCATCGTGCAGCCTTCGGTTTACGGCTTGCACACACGACAAAAACATGCTCCAGGCCTTGAGTCTGCTCTTGACCCCATGCTTGGTCACCTGAGCTTGGTACAAAAACACGCTGTGCAAAGAAAGGGCGGCCCCGAAATGGACTAATTATGCATTGGAAAATGGTGAGGAATAGAAATGCATGGTTCGTAGACCTGTGGGCACCCAATGGCGTACATGTGGCTCTCAACTCCAGTTTAGATGCCTACTGTATTGCAGCGACGAAATTAAGTTTAGACAGCTATCGTATGGCCGAGACCTGTTCTGTATGGCTCTGTCAGTCTCAAATTAAGACGCCTGCTGTACGGAGCTCTGGAAGACAAATACCAAGAATCAAAAGACATTTTGGCGGCTTTTTGGTTTTCCACTTTTTACACTGTTTCTTGGTTGTTTCGTCCCAAATCCCGGCAAACCAAAAAGCACACCCATTATCCCCATTTTTATCTTTCTCTTTCCATGCTCATGGACGGCCGGAATTGGCAGGGAATTCACTTGGCCTCGCATCTCATAGTCATACCTTGGAGGCGAAGGAAGGGACCGTTTAAGGGACTGAGATGGGCTTCATGCTGCTGCTTACGGTCTGAACATGTCTGAACGCCGGCTGGCAGGCCTCGGCTTGAGAAATGAGCGGTGGACACCGGAACTTTTCACGTGTCTTTGACCAGGCCAGGTGCATCTGGCACTCCGCATGGCGTGGTCCTGAGATGTTCCAAGTCCCAGGGAATCAAAAGCAAACAGTGAGAGAGTCCGCTCATACTCGTAGCATGGAGGCAAAGGGTCGTCAGGTACTGAGTAGCCTAAATGTTCATAAGCCTTCTCTGTGACACGCCACACGCTATCTCTTTAACCCTCTTCGGCGCACGGTTCCTGTGTTTTCTCGAGGCGCGCAGCCGAAAGCGCAAAAGCGCTTTGATGAAGAAGACTTCCTGCTTCCCCAAATCTAAATGTGCGGTGGCGTTGTGTCTCAAAAAATTCGTCATGGGCACAGGTTGCGATAGCACGAAATCCACCAAAGGCATCGGCACAAATGAACGAGGCAATCAGGGACATGCAGGAAAGAGCGGTGAGGAACGAGGTAAGGAGAGAAGGATGCATGAACTCGATGGTCAAACTCGTTGCTGGTAGTTGGAACGCGGGACGTTCCGGCACGTGTTTTTTTGTGCCAGATTTGGCTTTTGTCCGGTCTGCTTCTAGCCGTCCTCGATCCTACGTTAAGGCAACGTATATCGTGCGTGGGAAGATGACAGTCCAAAAGCAAGATGGTGAACCAGAACCAGGGTTTTAAACTACCGCCCGTTTCGTGGTGTTGTGAAACATGCAACCCTAAGTCCAGAAGCCCAGCAATGCCTTCAAGCCCACGGGATTACAAGCCCAAATCCTCTTCAACCCACAAGCCCACAACCAGTTTAAAGCTCAATAAATATTCAGCCTAGAACCCTAGAATTCAATCCGAGAGCAGGCTGGGGGGAAGGGGGCGGATCTTTGGATGTTCGCACGTACTTTAGACCCTGATCCATGCATGATTGCTGTTGGGGGTAAATCTTGTTCGGCGTTTGGGCGGGTGCAGCGCCTTCCCCTCCATGGCTTTCTCACCAACGAACGGCAAGAACAAGCTGCATCGCTGCAGTTGTCTACCATCATCTACCATCAATTTGCCATCACCTGGCAACTTGCGGTTCCTCTGCCGCGCACCATGCACTGAAGGCGGTGCTTCTGAGACAACCTGACACTGTGCTGCCTTGATTTGCCTTGTCACCCGCAACTCTTGAGTTCCGACGATGAAAGAAGAAGCCAATTTGCTGTCCACGCGCACCTGGTAGACCGTTGTGACTGCAAATCCGATGTGACCCAGACGGTGCACGAGTCTGATAGCGTTGCCTTTCTTCAGAATGATTTCACTAAGGAGACGAGCAGCGAACCAATCCACGGGTGCTCCATCGAATTCCACCAGCGTGTGTCCAAAACTCGATCGCACCAAACCTAGAGGCTTAGCATTGCGCAACAGGTGGCAGCAAATTCTGCTGCTGCACCAGAGGCTCTGGCGGAGTCGTATTGTTGGTCATGTTGTGATGACCGAGATTGACCGAGCTGCATTGACGAGGCTGCTGATCTCATCGCAAAGGTCGATAAAGAGCTTGATCAGACGCAGAGCAAGGCCTGAGATCAACGCGGTACCAAACACAAAGATTTGTCAAAATCTGGGCTTGAAGGACTTGGAAACTCGCCGGCGGACGTTCAAGGCATGTTTTACGGAATGTCTTGAAATTATTGAATGCCAAGGCCTTGCCGTGTGCCTAGTGCCAGTCCTCGGAGTCACGTCTACCATATGTCGACCACGGAGCATGTGCAGTAATCACGGTGTAATAGGGTGAAGAATGCGAATGTGTTTTCGGAGCTTGCGCAGAACCTCATCCTCAAGTGGCATCCGGACAAGAACCACGAAGAAGCTCTTGCGGCAGAGGCCGCTCAGCACGGTCACTAGTAGGTCACAGACTGCAGCCTAATCTGCTTAATTTTAACGCTACGCGACCCGCCTCGGCCCGGCCCAGCGCATCCGCGTGAGCATGGTGACTGGACCCCAAGCAATAAGGGTTGGGTTGAGGGTTTAGGGTTCCGGGTTTATGGTTTATGGTTTGGGGTTTAGGGTTGAGGGTTAGTTTAGGATTGAGGGCTTAGGGCTCAAGATTCACGCTGTTGGGGTTTAGGGTTTCAAGGTTCAAGGCGCAAGGGTGAGGGTTGAGACGGTTCGGCTTGGATTGATCGTAGGGTCGCCAGGCGGGGGGGGGGGGGGGGGGGGGGGGAGGGTCATGCAAGGCTTTGGTGCTTCGGGCGCAACGTTTTTGTCAGGCCGGGTTGGGGGGGGGGGTGGGGGGTGGGGTGGGGGGTGGGAGGGTTTGGGGGTAGGGGGGGCGGGGGGGTGGCCTTTCTTCAACGTGCCTTGGCCAACAACATTTGAAAAAAAGGGGGGTTTGGGGGGGGGTAGGGGGGTAGGGGGGGGGGGTAAGGGGGGGGGGGGTTAAGTGGGGGGTGGGTGTGGGGTGGGGGTAGGGGGGGGGGGGGGGGGTAATGGGGGGGCGGGGGAAGGGGGGGGGGGTGGGGGGGGGGGGGGGGGGGGGGGCGGGGGGGGGGAGGGTGGTGTGTCTGAAAAGCGAAAAACTGGGGGGCGCCCTGCTGGGGTGGGCTGCAACTGCCTCTGGTCCTGGCGAGACATCCGCTTGCGGACCCTCCTCTCCTAGGGGGGGTACCCATTTGAAGCAAAAAAAGGGGGCCGAAAAGTGGCTTTGCGCCTGGACGGAGGATTTGGAGGGGGGTGCCTGTTCTGACAACCTATACACCTTCGGCCCGAGGCCTCGGCGGATTCTCCAGATCCAAAATTGATCCCGAGAGGTTTTCCGCCATCTGATGTCCCGCCGGGGCCGTTACCTGGAGGCCACTGTCACAACGACCAAAATGTTGATGCTTCTCAAGTTTCTCAGTTCCTGCTGCGCCCTCTCGATATCCCGAGAGGCTTGATTCAGCGGCTTTTTGAACATGGTTAATGAGACATCCTGGTCGAACTTCGAAGAAGTTTCGCTGGTGAAGGCTGCGGTCCGAGGTTAGGCTGCAGACCGGTGCACTTTGCTCAACATGAGCTGGAGACAAGATAATGCTTGTGCCTTGTTGCCTTGCGCAATAGGCAGCGTATGGCAGCGTGAGACGCAGCACGTAACAAAGTGAGATGTTGCCCTCGTGTCCTCCTTCTGGAGGCTTCTTACAAGCGCAGCACTGCATTGCTCTGCCTGACGAGAAGGTAGCATGTGAAAGATACAAGTTCACTCACCCAGATTCTTCAACCGACTTTCTGGACCCAGCTGCCTAGGCACTCATTGTTTCATGGAGGTGATACAGACGCTTGAGTTGCAGGAATTATAACCAGCCGCTGCCCTTGCAACTGATCGATGGCATCAACGAAAATGCTTACCCGTTGACGCTGTTCATATTTGGATCAATCGGACTCATTTGCAGCGTTTCCAGTAGATTAGGAAGTTTACCCTCTTGGCCCGACTGCTCAGCAGTTGAGGACTGCGATGTTTGGAACTCTTCGTCATGTGCACGGCTGGCTGACTTACAAGTGCTCTGAAATCAGGACTGTTTTGAATCAGCAATGGCAGACGATGCGAATGCTGAGGACACCTCATACTGCAGTGGCTAGATCTTGTGACTGCTCGCGGATGTTGCGCAAGGAAGCGAGTCTGGAGGATCCAGACAGCCCGTTCCGCGGGCCTGGTTCAAAGAAACTGGCCCCAACCTGAGACCAATGAACTCTTGCACCATGCATGCAGTTGTCAACCGGACTAAAGAAACTGAGACAGCGACGGAGTTCTCAGGATCAACTGAGCCGACAGGGATCCCTTAGCGTGTTTCGAAATGTCGATATGGTGGGGGCCTTTGGCTCATGACATCAGTGACATCTCATGAAAATGACTGTTGCTATGACTGTTTCCGACCGGCTAGTTACTATCATCGAACCTCTCAATCAGGAGGATCTGGTAGCTGATGCTGAGCAGCAGCTGGCTTCAGAGCCAAAGCGGGCTGCCTTCAAGTTTGTGCTCTGTTTCTTTGGTTTTCCTTGACAGATGGTGCACACCTTGTGCAGAAGGTATATCTCCAGTCGCTTGGATGTTCCTGCCGTTATCGTTACCAGTGAAATCAGCCCCTGGCAAACGTCTCAGATGAAACTCACAAACTTCTGCGGGTGTCTTCTCTGTAGCACAGCTCAAGAATGAGAATTGCTGCCAAGGTCGAAGTCGGGTGGTCTTGCCCTGGTCACAGCCTCGCTAGCCTGGACCCCAGCAACCAGCGTAACCACCGCATTTTCGAGTTGCATATTGCAGCCATGGCCAGCCGTGCCTGAAGATGAGCCTCCGATGAGACCGCTTAGGCGCTAGAGCTGGCTGGAAGGGGTCGGCGCACCATGGCAATCAGCCCAATGTGCCCTTCTCTCGTGCATCTGGCGCATCCTATGATGTTTTGGTTCTCCTCCGTTCAAAAACCCTCGTCTTGGGTTTTTATGAGGTGCTCAACCATAGGATGCTAAAGCGTGCGAGAACCCCACGTACTCAAGGTCCGAGCAGCGCCTCCCAAGGTCCGTGTACGGATATGTACAGATCGGAGGTGACTCGCACTTGTGTCATTGCAAGTGATTCAGCTGCCTCCGTTGGCTACCCTTGACCTAGGGAATCTAGGGTCGCACAAACTGAAAATGTTTTGCATGGGACCGTGCACGCGCAAGTTCGCACAAGGTCCAGGCAAGCCTCCCGCAAGGGCCGGAATAACTCCCATACATCCTGCCAGATCCCCCAATCACACTTGCAGGCTGTCTTTCGGAGTGATGGGACCTCGTTTAGAGTTCAAGCTTAGCATATGTGTTTGATGTTTTTTTTCACAACCGTGCAGCAAAAAAATCCTGCAGGGGGAGGGCGGACGAAAAACGTGGCAGCTTTATGAGAGAACCGCCAGAGTTTTACATAGTTTTACCAATCAACTGCAGCTCACGTTTTTTGGGGGCATCTTGCAGAGGGGGGTGCATCCACGCAGCGGGCATCCATGTCTCCACTGTAGCAGTAGCTCAGAAGTGAGTATAGCTGGAACGCTGTCATTTCCATTGCCAGGTACGACAATTTTGCAAACTGCAACTACATTGCGTCGAAAAAGCCCGAGCCTGAAAACACGGAGCCGATGAACAGCATTGCTTAGTGGTCCTGGACACAGCAGACACAGACGTAGGCAGCCTGCCCTTCTGTGAAGCACCTGTTTCGACTCCTTTGCCTGCACTTCCCAGTCCACTCTGCGCCACACTCACTACACTCAGTCTACACTCACGCTGCGCTACTTTTGTCCACATCACGCTACACTCATCATTTCACCTTCTTGGTGTTTGGGCTCCTTTGATCCTTTCCGGCCCTCCATGTGCAAGTGGCCTTCTACAGGAGGGACCTCTTGTGGTCCTCACTTTGAGGGAGGTCTAGGGTAGGGTAGGACCTCCTGCCCAGTTTGCGCTGGACTCAACTCTCCACTTCACTCCAATCTCCACTCCACTCTCTGTCTCACTCCAATCTCCGCGACTCCACTCCCGACTTGACTCTACTCATCTCTTCTCCACTACTCTGGTCTACACCAATCCCCACTCTATTCGCCATCCCAAGGCCTTCCCACACTACTCCACCACTGTGCCGTACTCCGCTCCACTCCACTCCAGTCTTCACCCCAGAGTTCTCTTCGCTTTGTCCACTCCGCTTCACACCTCCAGTCTAATCTGCACCACTATGCACCCCACTCTACTGTCCGCAGTGCCTGTGCCAGCATTTGCGGAGCCAAACAAACATGATGTAGGAAAAGGTGCTTGGTATTTTTTAGCAGCAAGAATAGCGAACTTGCCAGCACAGTGCGCAGCACTGTTAGTGCAATGGCGAATCTTATGAATGCTCACCATCGGCAAGGATTTGGCTTTTTCATGGAGAGCATGAGGTGAAGTGTGCCTCCCAGCTGCTACCGTTGCATGCCATGCCGCCATGCAGCATCATGTAGTGATCTAAAGAAATGAGGTACTATCATCTATGGCAACCGCTGGAAGTCGAAGGAAGTAAAGGCGGCGGCATGGTGTGGCCTGCTCCCACTCCGATTCGATCTTCATGTCTCAGTACCTTTCTGTTGTCTCCTACGACTGCTGACCCAAGCACGTGGAGACAACAGAAAGCAAACCGCTAGGGCTTGCCGGGCATGGCAGGGCTCTATGCAGAAGGTTCTGGAGGACTCTTTAAAAATATGTACAGGTCGATATGTACATATATGTATATACATGTATAATGATTATGCGTTTTATATTGGTATGCGTGCTTTCGTATTCTCATATTTATATGATTATATGTTATGGATTTGTATGTATATGAGTATATGTATACACACGAAAGCTAGTTCCTTGCTCCTTTGGAGCTTGCGGGAGTTCTTGTTTACAAATTTTCTTTTGGGACAAACACTACTCCAGGGCCTTAATCTCTCCGATATCGGGTCGAGGGGCGGGGGAAGGGGGAGTTTGCATTCGTGCGGCCTAAGCGAATTTTTCCCAGTTAGGGGCCCCCCCCCGCCCCCCTTGAGCCGCCCCCCGCCCCCTCAGGGATGTTCTCGCACATGTGCTCTTTTGTGCATGCGACGCCTGCTACTTCGTTTCTTAGCAAGCGCGACGCGCAGCCTCAGAAGCTGGGTTACATGCATAATCATGCATACATCGTTTCAATATGGTCACGTTAGGTTGGGAGCTGTAGGTTGTCCTGTTGAGTCCTCGGTTCTACTTAGAGCTCCCGGATTTTGCGAGGGAACTAGCTTTCGTCTGCCATGCTCTCAGGCAGATGTATACATATGTTTTCATGTTTTCATATACTTATCATGAGAAAGAAGCAGCCGAATACTTTTTGCATCAACCTAGTCATCAAGCTCGCGCCTGAACTGGCAGCGAGCTCTGTTGTCAGAAAGGAGGAAAAGAACGCAACATAGAAACCGCACCATGTATCTCTCCATTTAAAAGGACTACCTATGAATCTCACTGCCAAGAAAGTCCATCCTAACAGCCGTATCGTGCTAATGGTCCAGCTCATAGATTCGCCCATAAGACCACATGTGATTGGGACGCTTTCCCCTGGAATCATGGGCCGGACCTTATTAAGACCCTATTTAAAAGACTCATGCGCTAGCTTGAGATACTAACCGCCGTTGAGACTAGAAAGCCCATCCTAATTGCTGTACCGATCTATGGTGTGGACACCGAAGTCGCTTCCTAGATCACCCGATCCCCTGCGTGCTTCTGGTCGGTTGACTGTTCACCGCGCGGTGGTGAGGATTCTGTAGCTGTGAATCCCAGAGCTCAGACACCAGACCACGTGCGCCCGACACTTCACCTGTAGAACTGGCATCGGGAGTTTCGTGGGCATCGCTCTTCAAACATATTCAACGAGCTCATAGGATTCAGCTGCGGGTCGCCCTCGCTGCCTCAATCAAAAACATCAAAGAGCCAAAAACTCAAGCCAAATACTCAACAGTTGCGAAGAAATGCTCTGTTGCAATTGCCAAAGCGCACGCTCAAGAAATCTTGACTCTGCTGGCCACTCTAGGTGGGAGCCGGCAGCAGTACTCGTACCGTCAACTACTCTGACATCTTAGAGTCTTGGAATGTCTTGGACTAATGTTTATGTTGAGTCGCTACCTGCAGAACCATATCAACGTTGGCATCACCAACAATCGAAACGGGAGGCTTCGCTCGTACAAGCCAAGGCTGCGTACGATACCGGAGTAGAGCGATAACCTCATTTCTTTCCACAAGAAGCCTTTTCAAGCATGTCTTTGAGTTCGTCTTCCGACCAAACAAGGGGCACAGAAACGCATGTGAAAGTTTGCGGAAGATACTGGGTGAGATTGCCCAGAGATGTAAGGAACCTGGTTGTCAGCGCGCGAGTTGAGCTACTGCGACTACCACCGGGCTACCGGCATTCGCTGGTGGTCCTTACTTCTGATGTCTCTGAGTATCTCTCAGTTCATGATATGTCACGTTTTTAAGACTCATATGACGGTTACGTGTCACTGTTTGTTGTTGTGGCAGGCGTGGATTATGTCTTTGTCGACCACCCTTGCTACCATCGGCCCGGAGGCCAGCTGCGGGCCCACAAATGGCAAGAAATGACACGGAGCTGTATCATAGATCTAGCACAAGTTCTAACACATTCTAGCGCGGCTAGTCCCTGCTCATCTTTGCAGAACATCGCAGAACATGCGCGCATGCGGTGGATGTCTCTGTGCAGCTGGTGCATTCGAAAGAGCTTGTTTGTTAGTGCGTGTGCTCGATGACTTGCGAAGCTTCACGGCTAAGGTCTGTATTACAACGCACAGGAGGGCGTCGAGTGCTCCCAGCAAAGTCCATTGCATACGATGGAAAGTACGAACTACACGAGGTATGCTGACAATTTGTTTCGCTTCGCGCTCTTCACACTCGCAGCATTAGAGGCCTGCCTTCATGTATTGAACCTAATTAATCTCACCCTCGAAATCCCGGTCCTGGAAAACCTCGGCCGAAGTGAAGAGGCTCCGTGCTGCGTTGCACCCGGCGGTGCAGCTTATGGTGAGCGAGTGCTCCGATGAAATCCTGTGCTGTTCCTTGTGTCAGCATTTTCTAGTGAAATTGTGCTGGTGAGTGGTGCCCCGTAAGGTAATGTTCATTGCAAATGACTGGCAAAGCGCGCTGCTTCCAGCCACATCCTGATGTCCCAGCGGCTAAGTAAGCAAGATTGATTGATGCGTGTGTCGTGCTCTCAAAGCCTTATTAAGGTTTATCTGACACATCGGTTTCGACCGGAGCACAGGCGCAGCCACTTCTCGATTTGGTTTGTTTCAAGAAGGAGTATTCAAGTCACGAAGACGAGCAACGAGAGTGCGTATGCGTGGTCTGGAGGTTCGACCAATCTCGCTGTATTTTCATTGTGCACAACTTTGGTTACCAGGCAGCGTGGCTGCCCCTGAGAGATCTCCAGAGATGTTAGCGTGGCGGGGTTTCAGATACATTAACAATCATCAACATGTTGAGCTTACGCCTTCCCTGGCTCACCCATTTCCGGCGTGCACTGCTAGTCAAGCCCTGCTAACTTTGTACGACTGGGCTTTTGGGCTTTGTGGCAGTCAGTATGCTGGCACCAAGTAACTCTTCACGCTGCTTCCTTGTCCGGCAGGGGATCTACCCGTGCAACAAGTTGGAACCAAACCCAAGGGTGTTGCCTGCTGCAATTAACTGCAATTATCCATGCCTGATGACCTTGAGCTGGCAAAAGCTGGGAGCTGCTGTTTGGTCATTCCAATATCCGTGCCGCATCACAGCTACCACTTCTTTCGCCAAGCTCTGGTGTGACAGGGCACCTTGCCCATTATCATGAAGAACGTGGACATTTATGACTTTGGCAATAGCCCAAGTGCCAACATTGAACATGGGCTTCGGCGAGTTTGTGGCAGCTGCGCAAAAACCTTCGCATCCTTCAACGGCAGCATGTCTTGCCATGTGCAGGATCGGCATGTCTCCTGTCTCTGCTTTATACACATACTAGTACCGCTTGGTCAGCTGCAAATGTGCAGTCGCAAGGTTTGAATGACACTGGCGCTTACGAGCACATGATCTACCAATATCCACCATGGGAAAGGCCGCCCTACTGTATTGCGCGCGCGCTTGGGGGAACTTAGCTTCGCTCTTCGCCTATGCTGCGACCTTGGACCTCGCACCGCGCGTTATGTCTGGGTCGGGTTTTGCATGCTCACTTCTGAGAAAACCAAGTGCTGAGTACTGAGTTCCCACACACAAAGATGGGTTGTGATGCATACTCACCAGGGTTTTCCGCTTGTGTGTCTAGGGATCTTGTTGCAGCTGTTTTCTCACATTTTGCTTGTCCATTCGGAGAGTGCCAGCGCGACGCAATCTTTCGCAACGCGATGGCGTTGCTATTGCGTTGCTCATACTTCCTCATCGGGCAGGTCATACGATGGTGATGATGGCAACGTTTGGAATTTGACAAAGGCTGCTTAGCTTTGGCCCTGAAGCCTCAACACTCGGTCCAAGACATGGGGTGGTAATTAGTACGTGACTTCGATTATTCATTTCAGTGCTGCATGAAAGTTGCGAATGCCAGGGTGCGGTTCTGACTTGTGACAGATTGTTGACCGTCTCGGAAGGCAGGCGGAGCTTGTAATTTGCTGAACTGTTCCGATTGATAACATAGAAAATTCAACAAATTGCAACAATGCATTCTTGAAGGCTATGCGTCCGAGATGAAGACGCCTGAAGGCCGGTCTGCACATGCACTGTCATGCTCTGGATCACATTAGATGCCTTAGATATTCTTGCGTAACGTTTACCTGGCGGCTGCTTTCAACTGAGCAAACTTGATTCGGAGCAGAGCAACAAGGAATCCTGTGCTGGAAGACCGAACGTGTAAGGACCAAGGATGATGAAGGTCCAATTGAGGTGATCAAAGATGAAGCTGTAAGGCTCAACATTGCCACAGGGCGGGAAGTGGTAGGATCGTAGCAACACATTGTGCTGCTCGAGACAGATACTCAGTCCGTGTTTAGCCTTGCGAACAAGTGTCGATCAGTAATTGCTCACGAACAGAAAAGAAGGGAAGAGGGCGGGGAGGAAGGAAGTCCGCGTGGGCAGCTGAACCCATCTGAGCTTTGAACTCCGGCGCTGTGTTTGCCTATTTTGCACTGCGGCTTGGAGGGACTTCAGCAAGTTTCACCAAGTCGCCAATCATTGCAAGGCAAAGTTTGCAGTCAACCTATGTCAACCTCCTATTGGGTATTATTGGGTTCAGGTGGGTTTCGACTTGACGAGCTGGTCAAGCAGAAAGAGTGGGGTGCCCAGAACTGGCAGAAGCCAAGTCAGCATTATTCTATGTTAGCATGAATGCAAAGAGTATGCAAAGTGCGAACTGTGCTCAGGTTTTTCCTTAGTGGCATCTTGAATGGGATAGATGTCGTCACGTGGAATCCGCGGTTCAGCTGGCTAACCTTCTCGAAGTAGACCTTGCACTTGGCGCGGCGCCGTGCCAGGTCAGATCCGCACTTGGTCATGCAGTACGACTTGGGATCTATAGTAGATGGCAAGGCTCGAGTCCTCGAGTCCGTATGTTTTGCACGACCATTGTTCGTCGTAGCAAGTTCCATTCCTGTTCGTTGTGCCATTCATTTCGCCTCTAGGCTGCATGCAAGAGGCAGCTTCAGGACCAACAGAGTCGACACCGGTTCACCTGTTTTCGCTGCAGATTCTCATCCATTGCTTTCGTTGTTCATGCCTTTCATATCCTACGTCAGGATCACGTGGGCTTGCGGCCGGACGAGAGTGTAGTGCTAGTTGGCAGCTTGTTTGTGCGGAGAGGCTGCAAATCTTTGTACATCTCTGTACGCACCTCACCTTCTGCTTTGCAATCTTTGCAAAGGTCTCCTTCGTCGGCCGGCTGACCGAGCAGAAGGGGGTCGACCTCATCCTCGAGGTGAAGCGACAGCAATGAGTACGCTAGCTCTGCAACTAGATCAAGGCGAAATAAGTTTATCCGCTTGAGAACCGAGCTTGCGGAAGCTCTCGGACAGGCAACCGACTGGATGATGCAGGACACGGGAAACAACGTCACCGGCCACATTCAGGCGAGGTAGGTTGAGACCAGGTTAAGACAGATTTTTGCAAATGTGCCATCAAAGCATGCATCGGAGCAGGTTCTGATGATGGGCAATGGCGACGAAGTGTACGTCAGAGGTTACTTGTGCACGTTCGTGTGGTGTTCAACGTGCCGTGGTGTTGTTTTACAAGCCATCCCTGCTGTATCTTGAATTGTTTAGCAGTTGCTCGAGTCAGAAGCTTCTAGTACTCGAGCGCAGCCAAATCGCCAGCTTGACAGGCCTGGAGGAAGCGTCACGTCGTTATCCTGGTCGATTCTCCGGGTCACTTTGGCATGTAAGAGCTAGCTGAATGATAGTACAAGCAGATAGTGTGTAGTGTTGTTTGGCACCCCCTCCTCCCCGGGGCAATCTTGTGAAGGAAGTTTTGAATAGGGCTGATGGCACAGACGAGAGCCGACCGGCTTTGGGAGGAGTTCAGGGCCGAGGCAGATGCAGCAGCCGTAGTGGTTCCTCGCCGACGAGTTGCTTTGACACTGTCTGCTCAGACCTGTGGTTGCATTTCCCTAGAACTCTTCTCTTTTGATGACGGTTGTTGCATGCAAACGCACACTTTGTTGGGGGGGGGGGGGTAAGCAGTCTGTGGAACGAGGAGTGACACATGTCACATGCTTGGGTGTAGCATCTTCGAAGGGTTCTAAGGGTCCACGTGCAGCGGGAGAATAATGAAGCGACGAGGTGTAAAAGCCATCGCGAAATATTTATTGCCACCTGTTTTCGATGCATTCCCAGAACAACGTTGGACAGGATTAGCTTCGATCCGGTCGTAGAGCACCTCCTGTGCTCCGGGGCTCTGGGTTTCGCCTCACGCTGCCGATGTATGGAGTACGTGCTGTTCTTGATCGTTCCCATCGTTCAATGCAGGTACGCCGGCAGTGATTTCCTCTTGATGCCATCAAGGCTAGACGCGGCTGTCTCGACCGCGACATTGCCAGATTTGCCAACCTCAAACGCGCTTGAGCGCAATCCCAGCTGTGTGGAGGTATGAGCCATGTGGATTGCCTCAGGCGGGGTTTGTGTAAGTCTTAAGTGAATCCTGCACGCCCAGCACTTGCCAGGTTACTCTGAGAGCAGTTGCGGAACCGCTCCCGAAATGGGCCGAAATAAAGTTTTCCAGGTTAGGGCACGAGATATTCAGCATGCAGGTAGTTATTCAGCAAACTTTGCAGGTTGGGTGCACTGATTCGCCGTTGTTGGCCATTGTTGAGGATATCAGAGAAGCTGAAGCCAGAAAGATGCAGTTTACCCGTCGCTCGCAAACAAGTTCAGGGTCGCACAACGTCATTGTTTTCTTATAGAAACTTACAAAGCAATCGTGCGAAAATTTGCAGCGGCGCATGAGATCAGAAGTAGCGTGCGCGACCTGACGCTCGGTGTGGACGTTGCAGGATGCCAACGAAGCGAAAATGGAGGATATGGGCAGCCATGGCTTCCATCCGCCGCGGACGTCCACGGTACCCGAAGAACACACGGCGAAACAATTCCAGTGCCCGGCAGGGGCCAGGCCCCCGCAACCTACACTTTGATTTTGCAGGGCTTCAAAGACCGAGCTGTTTGTTTCAACGATCGGATGTACGTATACAGGGCCGAAACTGCAAAACAAGCGGTGCAGAAGATTGGGGCCGCTCCCATTGCACAGGCCCTCAGGGCCGCCAGTCCTTGGCAGCTTTGAAGGCTATTGCCTCGAAACCCACTTGCGTGTTCAAGTGTGTACAGCTGATTAGCTGGCACATGGAACAGAAGGCCGCAGAACAGTTTGGCGCCCCCGCCAAAACAAAACAAGAACCCAGCACAGTGACTTAAAAGCCTCCGGCTCATGCCGCCGACTTCGCAGGCATTGCAATTCATTGTCAAAATGCGTGAGCAGCGTCCAAGCCAACTGAGACCAAGCACCATGCGCAGCCGTTTTTGACGAGTGCCCCCCACCCCTCCACCCCTGAAGCTCGTGCCAAGGCCTGTACGCCCCGTAGCCCCCACAATGAATGATACAGGCAGGGGGGGCTTCATCGGGGTGGGGTCACCAGGGCGGGTCAAGCCAATCGTCAAGCACAACACTGCGGGCTCAGCAGAAAAGTCACGGCGTCAAGCAGCTTGTTGCCACAACAGGAAGGGATACGCCAAGCGGTCAGATGAGTCAGAATGTCCTGGTCCTGGGGTCGGGGTCACGGAGGTTTGCGGTTTAATTAGTTTTTCCGTGGTTTGCCAGGAAGTCCTTGAGGTTCACCCCCCCACCACCCGTGACAACGATTCCACCCATGACACCCCATGACGATCGAACGAGTCTGCATGAACCTCCTGACGCATTGGTGAACCCCCCCTGTGACCCGTGACGGCCTTGACGTGACGCTTGATTACCTGGTGAGCCTCCGTGACCCACCGATTGGTGGTTCCTTGGCGACCGCTAGTCCCTTTGCCCAAGTCTCACCCCTGTGGTGAAGCTGCCCTGTTTGGGGTTCCTCTTTTCCGACATTTGAGCTCATGCGGTGGGGATCGCTTACCCCTCGTAATCATTTTCACCTCCGAAACCCAGATGGCGGATGTGGTCCAAAACAACATGTGAACAGTTTGGGAAGATGTGATGTCCAATCTCCAGCAATCTGTCAGATGTGCGCCCAGCGGTATGGGACCATTCCCATTGTCACGCTGTGTGGCGGCTTGAAGGACTGCTTGGGTTTTGAGGTGGAGGGGTGGGGGGTGCGTGCGGCAGTTTTGCGAATGATTCGCAGGACTCCGTAGTTGTTGCTCCTCCAGAAGAAGCTACCGGGTGAGCTCAGTGTAGACTTCAGCGCAACCAACAACATGCAAAACATTGTTGAACCCAGGTTCGGCATATTACCCTTGGCCTTCGACAAATTCAAAGAAGTTGTGTACAAAGCTTGCGATGCGTGCCTTTGCCTGCATCGTTGCCCTGTTACGCTGATCCGAGACCCATGTTCAGTGTGAAGCATCATGGAAGTATCATGGAACAAGTGTCTGTTTTTCTTGCCCCATCAGAATTGCGCGACCTTCCTGTTTTCCATCGCCAGCATGCGCCAGCCCTCACTAGGGCTGTAGACATCTGTAGACTGTTCTTCCATGGAAGTGCTGGCGCGGCAAGCAGCAGTAGCATCCCAGCAGTAGCCCCTGCTTGACTCTTACGACCTGTGGACTTGGCCTGAAGATCTCCGAGTAAGCGGCCCTAGGCACGGCTGACCATCCAACTCAATCCCGTGCATGTTTTTCCTTTGCTCCGCCTTCTTTAGTCGAGTCGATGCCACAGCTTCCCACTGCGGCCTCGGCGCTCATTCGTGTTCATTCTAGATGGCATCTTGCAGTATCTTGCAAAAGCTCAAAAGAATCAATCTCGACGGGGCTCTTTGATGCTTGTTGCAGAAGGCAGCAAATCCGGATTGAAAGGGGACGTGCTGAATGGACATGAATGGTTCCGTTTCGGATTTCGTTTCATGAAGGTCATCTGGAAATCGAAGCCAACGGTGGACTACTCTGCAGATTTCGTGACGGTTCGTGTCAAACTGGGTTTTGGCCTCCCCCTTTTCTGTTTTGGCGTGTGCGTCGCTGCCCGATTACGGTTTGCTATTTATATATGATTATTTATGATTAAATATGATTCATGGCATGGACTTTGTCGTTCCCCTGCTTCGTGCGTACAACCGTAGTTACTTCCAGCGGCACAAGCGAACGCAATTTTGAATGTGCACCCAACGCTGGGCACACTACCTCTGCGCCTTGTATCTCGCCAGTCCCGACCCCCTTTTTCCATCTCCTTCCTGTCGTCCTATCGTTTCTTCCACAGGAGCAGTGGTTGATAGTGGTTGTCATGATCCCTTGCCGCGTGTTCAAATCAATATCTGTTAAGCTGTCGTCGGCCCAGTTCTTCTGAACAGGCTTCTAGATGCCTCAAATCAACTAAGGTATTTTCACAAGCCAGACGAGTTCGAAGCAATGCAGCGCAACACACTCGGAAAGATGAAGTTATGTGTTATGATTCGTTGTATTGAGATGCAAGCAGGCCGCGGCTTCGCAACCGATTTTTCGTGGTGCGCTCGCATTGATGAGTGCGCCGCTGCTACTGGGTCACCAACCCCCTTCGGACCTTAGGAGTTGATCACGGCCATTCTGAGAGTTTTCATTTTGAAGTTTTCGTTAGAAGCACAAGTGCGTCAAGGGCACCAACCCAGCATGAGGCGCAAGGTTGAGTCCGTTTCACATGAACGGTTGAGTATGCTATGTCATGCTGTAGCACCGAAGATCTGTCCCCTAGTTTAAGCCCATGTACCACGATCATGTCTGGAGCAGGATTCCCTAAGCCAACAACTCACCAAACACGGCTACATGACTGAGCAGCACACTCTTGAAATCACTTCAAACATCCCTTCGTTGGCATTTGCTTTTTAGGGTTCCTGTCCCAGCCTTGTTTGGAGGATTTGGAAGTTAGTTCGGTGTCGGCTCCACACAGCCAGAAGCATTGATGTTTCAGTCCGGTGCGATGGAATGTACTGCCAAGCATTGCCAGACTGCCATGACTCCCCAAAACTCACCCTCCCGCTCCCCCTCGTCTTCGCGCGCAAGGTACGAGAAGAATATCGACTGGGCACTCAATGACCCGCCATATGTGCGCTGAGTCTGCAATAAGCAGTTTCACCGATGCAGCAATTCCTCCCGGCAACATGCTAAGAGCATCATACCGTATCAGACCAAAGTACTAAATTATGCACATGCGGGGCAACCATTTGCTGCCAGTATCTGCCAGTTCTTGGCAGACTCATCTGAGTTTAATGCACACCTCCGGGCAAAAGGCTGACGAGGACAATCGGTTCCAAAAAGACCTGTGGATGACTTGTGCCTGCTGGGCGGATGACTCTGGCAAGGATGGGCAAGGCAAGCACAGGGCAAGTGCATGTGGCCGTGCACGGGCCGGGTATACCCGGGTCGCACTCGACGACGGACGAGTGATCTACAACGGGGCGACACCACTAATCAAGGACAGCACACCAAGTTGGGAAACCCGAGGCGAGGATGTTGAGCATCCGGGCTATGTAGAGCGTGCCAAGCCGGTCACCTAACCCTCTTCTGGTGCCCGTCCTGACCATATCACCGCATCAAGCATGGTGCTGCGCTTGCGCCAGCCAGCCGCTTGCCACAAAGCCCGGGAAAACTTGTGGGATGTTGCCACATCAGGCAGTCCGGCCAATGGCTCCAGCTTTGGTACGAACAAATTCGCTGATAAGCCGCCATGCGTGGCTGCAAGGCCGCAGCACGCGTCATGGCCTCGTTTGACATGATTGAAAATTGTTGAAAACTATCATGCCAAACGTCGAAGGGGCCTTCTTTCGTCGAGACCCCTTTCTGTCGAACGCCCTATGAGAGAAGCCTCTCGGGAACACGTGGGCCGGCTAAAGTTAATTTCTGTGAGCGGACCACGCCTTTGCACAGGAGCACCTGCGGGCCACCCATATGGGTGTCGCGGGGCAGTCGATATTGCTTCGGCCACCATGCGCTAACGTGAGTCTCCCGTTGCGAAAGAAGCGCTGGGATCAGAGGGCCAGGTCGTTCCGGACGATGCATTTCGCGACTATACAGACCAAAAAAGGCCTGCCTAGGGGCACGCGCCACGTACACGGCGAACAAGCGAGAAGAGGTGTATGACACGAGATCTGACGTCAAGTAAGTGTCTTGTCAGTGATGATCAGTGTTTCTCTACGTTTCTCTTTCGTTCTGATTATGTTAGTTTTTTGCTTCATTTAAGTTGTCTCTCTCTCTCTCTCTCTCTTCGTCTCTCTGTCTGTCTCTGTCTCTGTCTCCGTCGAGCAGGCAACCCGACAATTGCTGCTACCCCTTGGACGCATGTAACCTTGAATCCTGCCGTCGATCAACGGCAACCAGGTACCGAGTTCCATGTCTCTTTCCCTGTTCCGACATTCAGGTTTTAGGCTCGGGGTCTGACAGCCCGTGTGCACCCATGCCCACATTGCCCACGCAACTCATTGACACAAATGTTGCAAATTGTCCTCGTGCCCCGTTGTCGCCTCCATCTGATCATGGTCCCTGACCTGCCCAGCCTCCACATCCTTTAGTTCTAGCTGTGGGCACCTCAGCTGTTGCAGCTTCTGTTGTCGCCCCCGAGTTGACCACTTCGTCTCAGTTGGTTGGGCAATCAGTGCAACGCCAGGCTCAAAGGCAGCAAGTGCTGTTAAGATCTGTTAAGCATTCATGGCCGTTTAAATCAGCCACGGAGGCAACTTCTGTGCGGCCTCGCAGTGTCAGCGCGTCTCCACACCTGCTTGCGTTTCAGGTATGTGTTCGCTGCTTGTAATGATGTATGTGCCACTGCGGTTGTCGCAACGCTGCGCCCCTCGCATGTTTGGCGCGAAGTTATGCCCAGCATTGCCAGGATGGGCTTGCATCAAAATCATCAAATGTTTCTTCGCTGAACGTTGCGAATTGTACATTTGTTTCAGTTGGTAGTTATATACCGACCGCTCGACGGTTGCTTGAGGACTCGTGCTGCTGGTTTCTCGTGTCGAACAGTAGTGTGAGTAGTGCATAGTAGTGCAAACCACTGTGTCAATCGACGATGCACTTTCAAATTCCCATGTGTTGAACGTGGAGTGGGAATGCCAACGGCATTGGCATCAGGCTGCATCCGCCAGTCCATGCACGTGTAGGCATGCTGCTTGTACGGCTTTTGTGGTCGGGTTTTTTCTGTAGCTCATTGAACTATACTTCTTGTTGTCGTGAAAGTACGTTTCCTGGCCACGCGTGCCACGTCGCGTTTGTCGGAACATGCCATAACATGGAACATGCTAAGCGGCTGTTTCGCAAAACGTTGTTGTCAGATGTTGCCCGGCGGGCTTTTTGCCCCATACTGTCGCAGCCGCGCGTGCCCGTGTCATTGACTCCCAAGAGCACAACCGTGCTCCGAAGCACTCCCGGCATGATGCCAGGCCTGGAGCTTTTCGTTTTATATCGTGTTTGTAGTAAACGCCCGTGCATGTCATGCTCTGGTTGATGCGATTTGCAGGTTTCTGCCATCGCGCTGTACAAGCTCACGGTGCACTAACTGCAATGCTCATGCACTTGTAAGGCCTCCTTCGACGCAACTGCTGCAACCGTCGATCGTTGACGTTTTGTCGCACTCGTGATTGCCCGGTCCCAGCCCGGTCCGTTGTGTTAGCTGGCGTCGTCGTCGTCGTCGTCGTCGTCGTCGTCGTCGTCGTCGTCGTCGCGTCGCAGTGACGATCGTCGCATCGACTGCGACCTGCGCTGGCCACGACTTCATATGCTGCATTATCCTGCGGCCTGCAGGGCGACGTTGGTCGCGACGCGAGCACCAAGCGTTCCGGCGTCGCCCTGCATGGGGACAACTTCGTGGGCACTCCTCTCGGAATTTTGCGAGATACCCGTGGGGTGGTCTAATGTTTGCAATCGTTTCACGTGCGATGTCGTGCGGTCAATGCTGTAGCTACAGAAAAGAGGAACATATATAACAAATGATATATGCAGAGTGAGCCACGTAAAATGCATCACTTGGCAAGAGACATGACATGACATGACGCTGACCAGACCAGCAAGAAGACAACGTACATACAATGGAGCAGCCACGTCAAGGTGGTAAAAGCAACCATGTCCAGGCCTTAAATTTTTTAAGCCCTCTGGCAAAGTTCGCTGCATTTGGCAAAATTTGGCAAATATTCGCAGCGTAGAGCATGTGTGGATGAACAAATGTTGCCCATCTCATACGGCGCAACCACGAGCCGCAAAAGGCTGTCATCAGATAGCACGTCCACGTTGCAACTCAAAGGTGGCCAAAGTCACCATATGCGCCTCCAGCGCAGAAAAGAAGAACACGTGCGCAAGTCAAGAAGCAAGCTCCAACCATCACATCCCTCGCAAGCCCAAGCCACCGAAGCGCAATGGCAGGCGCGCCGCTCGCTCCGATTGCTGGGCAGCGGTGCGTCACTGGTGCGTCCACATGGCCCACGAGCGTGGTGAGGCAGCGAGTAATGGCGCAGTCACGCGAGGCAGCATACTCGGCGGTCGCGGCTGGTGGCAGAGCTAGTGGTGCTGCAGCAGCCAGGCAGCCGGCAGGTCCCTCACGAGCGAGACGCTTCTTATGCTTTTCTAGAGCGAGCTGCAGACCCAGGCATGGCGGGGTGTGACCACCGCGTTGCCCGCCCCACCCACATCAGCGTCGCGGATCGCCTGCAGAGCGAACACAAGCGCCCGACGGAAACCGGCACGTAGAAAGGGTGGAATATCCTGCAGGGTGGGGATGGGCCGTCGCAGCTCGGCCTGGAGGTCAACGCGGTCAAGGTCTGCCCAGGGCAATGATCCCACCCTGCCCTCGCGCACGACTGGGCGGAGCCGCAGGGAGGGTAGATGACCTGCCGCGGCGACGGCGTCGAGGGCGTGGGGGGGGCGGGGGCATGCGAAGAATAATCGCGCACGCGGTCAGCGAGGGCTGCGGCCTTAGCTCGGCTTGCAATCGGGCGTCCGCGAGGACGCGCAAAACCACAGCGGGAGTATCGAAACCTTTCGATGCAACGGAATTCGCGCGAAACCACAGCGGCAGCATCGAAACGCAACGGAATTCGCGCGAAACCACAGCGCGAGCGTCGGAACCAAGGCCCCGTCCCACCGCGCGCGCCGTTGCGGTCGGCAACCTAAGCGGCCACCCCAGAAGAGGCCTGAAGAGGCCACGAGAGGCCGGAATTCGCGCGAAACCACAGTGGGAGCATCGAAATGCAACGGAATTCGCGCGAAACCACAGCGGCAGCATCGAAACGCAACGGAAGTCGCGCGAAACCACAGCGGGAGCATCGAAACCAAGGCCCCGTCTCACCGCGTGCGCCGTTGCGGTCGGCAACCTAAGTATCTGTGGGACGGTACCCACAGGCTGAGCAGGGATGTCAGGGGATACAGGAGGTCTTCGACGATGCATGTCCATGGCTGCAAAGAGGCTCAATACGACCTTTTCACACACCAGCAAGATCTGAGTGAACATGTTTGTTTGTTCACTTGAAAGTCCAGCGTGAGCTTGCTGTAGCACTTCGGCTAACTCGCATGCCACATGTGTCTTTGGGCCTTCACGGCCATCCGTCTCCACACACAAGCCTTGTGCATCAGCAGACCGTGATCTTCACCCCTCCTTGAGCACTCCGCTAGGAGGTGATCACTCACATCCTGTACACGACGTCCAAAAGCTGACTGCAACAAGGCGAATTCCTTATAAATGCTGATTCAAGGCCCAGCTTGCCCCTTGATAAATGCTGATTATGAGCTCAGCTTGCTCATCCCGTTTGCTCACGGGCCCTTTTCTCACACACCTGGCAAAGGGTCCTCATTGAAGGGGACGGCACGTTCCTCAACCCCCAACAATTCTGAGCAGTGTGAACTGTAGAGCCGCTACTTGAGACAAAGTACGGCCCACAATACGGTGTCTCGATCACCTTGATGCGGATCGGCTCTTGAGATGGCTGCATTCTCACGGCTGCAGGTTGCCATGGGTCAGTCTGAACACCGACCTCTGCCCTACTCACATGCCACGAAGTCGAAGCACTCGATGGCTCGGTTGCAGATGCAGTCCGTCGTGCACGAGCAGTTGTCTCGAAACCAGCAGCCTCTTCCTGCCGGAATCTTGCACTTAGGTCCAACAACTCGTACCTTTCCTGCTCCTTCAACGTTGAAGCATCACCCTTCAGCAGCGCCTGCAATCTTCTCAGCTCATCTCGTCTCAACGGTCTGGCCTCCACTGAAGGCACCCTCAGCGCCCTAACAGCGACCAAATCGTTCACTCCTCTTCCACAGCCTTTTACAAACTCCCAAACCATAACAGCAAGCACCCCCACAATCATCACAGCGACGTACAAGTCCCATGAAATCTCGACTTCCACGCCCTTCATTGTCTCCAAGGATTGATCCCGCCGAGCCACAGGTGCGTCGTCATCATCCCAACCGCCACGGGCACAACACAGAAGACTAACCAAACACCCTAACCTAAGACTCCAGGTCAAGGTATACGAGGATGCTACTACATGTCTGCTAGTCATGACTGTTGGCTGCTGTTCTTGGTGCTGCTGCTCATCGGGCTGCTGTTCGTGGGGCTGCTGCTCGTCGGGCTGCTGTTCGTAGGGCTGCTGCTCGTCGTCCTCCGAGGACTCCCAGTCCTTGTAGTAGGCGTCGAAGTGGTGCTTTGCAACCCTGTCATAGTAGCCACTAGAGTGACCTGACCCCAACGACCATGAAGGGCTTTCCTCCCTCTCAGGCTCTGGTTGCAACATCTTCACCTTCGGCTCCGCGTCTGCTAGCATTGCCCCCCTCATTCCCCACAAACGCATCATGTGTCGTAGGCGAACTGAAGGTACCTGCTTTGTCAAGACATCTGCCAGCTGCCAATCCCCTGGGCAATGGATGAGGCGAACTTGGTCTTGTTGCACCAACTCCCTCAGCCAATGGTACCTCAGCTTCAAATGGCGAGTTCGCCATGATCCTCCATCCCCTTGGAGAATCGCAATGGCCGCTGTCGAGTCGACCATCACTTGGCACTGAATCGGTCCAAGGCCCATGTCCATCAACGTTGCCCGAACAGCAAGCATGAGCTGCACGCCATCAGTTATTGAGAGAACTTCGCTTTCCGCCGAACTCAGAGTTGTCATTCCTTGCCTCCACGACCGCCACGTTATTGCAGTGCCTCTCCACACCACCAATGCCCCACCATGCGATCTTTCGCCCTCCGGAGCAAATGATGCATCTGTGAAAAGGGTTAGGGTTCTTTCCCCTCCTGGGCACTCGATCTCACCAGTCATCATCGAACACTCCTTCGTCGAGTTGAAGTAATTCAAGATTTTTTTTGCGATGACATTGGCCCTGGTTGGATCCCGAGTGGTTAGCGATGCCAGGATCGTCACTGCAAAGGAAGCATCAGGCCTCGTCTTTTGCACTGTCCACAACAGCTCGCCGCACCTTTGCTGTGCTTCTTTGATCTCCTTGGTGTCCAAGTGCTGTGGATCCGGAAAGTTTGTCCCCACCACCAGCAGGTCCTTTCCAGCAGGAATCACACCATGGCCACCGCATTCATGAGCACGAATGATCTCATCAAGGTACCCTTGCTGGCTCATCACGTAGCCAGTGTCGACCCTTGTCAACTCCATGCCCAGAAACCTCACCATATTGTTCTTTGTGATCCACTGCACACCGCTGGTATCCCATTCGCTTCTTAGCCACTCGTAAACGCCCGAAACAGTCTGAGTCTCACCCACACACAGCATGTCGTCCACATAGAACAGCACGTACCCCAAGATGGTGGACCCCTCCTCGGACTCGTAGTGGCATAAGCCTTCGGGACTCATAGTGGACCCAGAAGCACGAAGGACACGGACTTTCGGAAGACCTTCGGGATTCGTGTTGGTAGAACTGGAAGTCGCCTCGGGATTCGTGATGGTAGAACTGGAAGTCGCCTCGGGATTCGTGATGGTAGAACTGGAAGTCGCCTCGGGATTCGTGATGGTAGAACTGGAAGTCGCCTCGGGATTCGTGATGGTAGAACTGGAGGTCGCCTTGGGGTTCGTGATGGTAGAACTGGAGGTCGCCTTGGTGACAATCTTGAAAAGATTCGGATCCGTTCTTGCACACCTTCAGCTCTGCACGAACCGTCTTCCCATCACAAATTGCATCAAACTCAGCATGCTTGGCCTTGGCATTCCTGAAGTCGCTCCACCACTTTGGACTCTGCCGGAATCCGTACAACGCGGTATCCACCTCCCATGCTTCCTGCTCCTCCACCAAACCCGCCAACTGAAGAACACGAGGAGGCTTGAGGGCATATCGTGGTTTTCCGGAAGGGCTGTCGGGAATCGGTGCCGACAAAAACGCCGACTTCACATCATCCACCGCTGCATCCCAGGATTTTGCTCCTGCTTCACCTAGGACTATCCTGACAAGGTCTGACGTAGCACCTGCGGAATAGAGCTCCGACTGGTCCAGGTGCGACGATTCCACCTGATTTCCGCATGCCACGATTCGAGTTTTTCTTTTGTAGCCTTGCCCTTGATGATCCGGAGGTTTGACTGTGTACACGCATTTGCCATGCACCATCGTCCTTTCCCCCCCTCTCATCACTGCAGCTGCTTCTTTTCCACGAAGTCGACGAATTGCTCCCGACTGCTCCAGCGCTTGGATCTCTTTCTCCATCGACTTCTTCCAGCAGTCCAGATGATTAACGACCTCGCTTTGGCGAACCGTTTGGACGACCTTCAAATCGTCACTCACGCCCTTCAAGATTTCCTCCACATTCTCAGTGTAGATGTTCTCTGGAGTAGCCTTCCTCATCCTAGGTAACTCCTCCTCAGGAATTTCCTCGAACACCCTCATCATCTTGGAAATCTCCGGCGCCACTGCCCCTGCCCCATCGTTGCTCTCTCCATCGACGTTGCTTCGATTCTCGTTGCACATGTTGAAGCCAGCAGGTAAGCAGGGTAACATCCACCTCCTTCAGCCTTTCTTCGCTTCTTATGTTGTAGGCAGCGACCACAATCCTATCTCCTTTCCATGGAAGCACCATGTGCCTTCTTCTTGAGTCAAACTTCACCGTTCCCTTGGCAGGCTGGAGGAGAAAACCATTGATCACCTCATCGCCCTCCTTGTGCACATAGCTCTCCATCCCCTCCTCAGGCTCGCCCTCGACCCATAGCTCTCCCCTCGACGATGTCACTGGGACCAACATCGAGGTTCATCCCTGGAGTTGTGCGAGTCCTTGTGCAAACGTACCCGAGAGTTCCTGAACAAGGCCACCGCATTGAACTTGTGGGTAGGATCAGCCTCCTTGACGAACTTCGTGAGGACCTTCGTGGAGTACGGGAACAAGGTAGTCGATCGTCTCACACCCGCCACCCCACCATGTATGTAGGCTCCGGCGCCCCATGACTTGGGAGACCACATCTCCTCGTCTGGCAAGGGAAGGACATCTCGGGGAAGATCCTGTTGGGGGAATAGGGCCGAAAGCATTTCCACCTCATCCCTCGTCACCGGAACGTTCTTATCCAGGACCCCTTTTGCGTACCTCTCAGGTGGAGATAGGCCTTGAGGAGGTTCATCTTCCTCTTGCTCCCTTTCCCCCAAAGTTGTTTTCTTCCTTGCCCTTCTTGTCGGTGGGACAAACTCAGGTACTTCAGCACGAAGCTCAGGGAGAAGCGCGGGCTCCACCATTGTTGGATCCACAAGTCCTGCTCGAATGCCCTTTGCAATCAGTAGGCCCCCATCGGATCTCATCACCAAATGTCCATTCGGTACATCACTTGCTGGACCGCGATAGTAACCTCTCCTCCACCTTGGCGGAACATCCTTGTTCTCATCCTTTAGCGCCGCGCTTTCCTTTGCCCCAACATAGGTCTTCGCACGAAACCATACTTCCTGCCCGAACGCAGGGAGGTGTGGATCTCCAGGCCGAAGAAGTCGTTGTTTCCTCTTTGCTGCAGCATGAGCGACCGCCATTGGCCACTCCTCAGGTGCCGCCTTTGCCGAAGACAACAATGTTCTCGCCGCCTTTTTTGCCCACTTCACTCCGACTTCTGCACTCGAGTTGGCTGCAGGTTCTGCACCAGAGGTACGAGTGTGGACGATATCATGCTCGGCGCACCAAGTCTTCAAGGAGTCTGTGGAAAATTCCCTTGCTGTGTCACTGTGAAGACGATGAAGCGGAAGACCTTCACTTACCACCTCCATTCTCATCTCTTGGATCGACCTCAAGGTCTCGGCGGACTTCCTCGAGTGTTGAGGTCGAACGATGTAGATGGTCTCGTATTCAAGGGCCCCCTTTATCATGCTGATCTCCTTGTCCAGGCTTGACATAGGCTTCTCCCCTTTCTCCTCCTTGGCTTCGCCGCTTGATAGAGCTTGCTCCTTCACTGCCTTCACCGCAATCTCCTCCTCCACATCGCTTGGGTTCGAAAGGGACGGCTCATACTCGACAAGCTCATCCTCATCACTCTTGGCAGCGTTATCCACCTCCATGGGATCATCTCCAGGCGGGAACGCTTCCTCCACATTTGGTTCACCTTGTGGTACTTCAGGACCTTCCTCCTTCTCCTGCTCCATCTCCTTTTGTGATTTTCCAGCAGCAGGGAGGAAGACTCTCGGGGCCCTGTAAGCCCCCACAAGAAGATACCGGTACGACTTACCATTGATATCTCTGCCCAAATGCCGAAAAGGTCCTGCTGTGTCCACTGCCAATGCACATTGTGGGAACTTGCTTGTCCGGTGAGGTCGGCCCAAAGCCGCCGCCTGTGTACAGACGGTACAATCCCGCCTAAACGGGGTGTGATCATGTAAAAGGTGAGTTCTCCACTCAGCCCGTTGTTTGGCTGACATTGCCCTCACTCTCGGTCCCATCACTGCACGAAGGGCAACAGCATCAACCACCCTTCTCCACAAATCAGCACTGCTTGCAAACTGACCCTTGTCCTGGTCATTGGCCACCATCACATCGTAGTTGGTAAAGAGGGTTTTTGTTTCGGCTCCTAGCTTCACCGGTTCCAACGCCATGTCTGTGACCTTTTGAAATCTTCTCCAAAGATCTCGTTCTCCATCACTCCAAGCGTTCTCACCTTCTGCCACATAGCCCACCTGCTCGGACAAGGGGGTTGCGAACTTCGAGACGACATACATCAGGAAGCTCATTGCCACCTGTGCCTCCCTTTGGCTCTTTGTCCCTTCCTTGTCCTCGAATCTCCACCACCAGCACTTCACCCTCCCTGTAGCTGCTGCCCAGAACAAGACTCTCACTGCAGCCCCATCCACATCCTTGAGCAGCTCCGCCCCCAGGTCCAAGATCTCATGCTGGTTCCTTAGCTCTTCCAACAACGCACCTTCAGGATTTTGTCCTTTCGCCGCTGGACACACCCTCACCATCCACGATGCCGATCTCATCAAGGCCTTTCGTTTCGCCCTTGACAAAGGCAATTGCTTCAGCAGCTGCCAACCATCCTTCTCATCCTTCGGAATCTCACCTTCCATTGGGACCAACTTCTCCACCATCGCCTCTGCCATGCCTTCGAAAAGCGGAGCCTTCATCACCATCTGCACCAAGTGACCCATTTTCGGCTCATCCACGAAGCATCTTGCCCACGTCGTCCATGGCCTCGCCTCCACATCCGCCAACGAATCAATCTTCGCCTTCAGCATAGACAGTTTGCCACTAAGCTCCTCCTTCCTTTTTCTCCCTTCCAAGCGCTCCACAATCTTCATCGCCTCCTCATTTGCAACTTCTGGACAACCCGAAGTCACCCTCGTCCTCAAGCGACCATATTCTGGATGGCTCACGCTTAACTTCCCCTTTGTCCACACCACCTTGTAGCCGCTGTCCACAAGAGCACCCATAGGAATTATGGTTTGCACTCGTTCAGGTCCGACTCCTCGGGCGATGATGGTACCTTCTTCAGTCTGGTGAAGCTCTCGTTTCGTGTCCCCAGCCAGAACCACCTGAGTCAGCTTAGCGCCTTGCAGTTCGGTGGACGACTTGGCTTCGCGAAGGATGTTCGTTGCCCCACTGTCCAGCAAAGCAAAGGTTCCACCAGAGGCGGGCTCTTTTTCAAGTCTCATCACCTTCAGACGAATTTCATCAAGCTGTCGCTGCAAAGTTTCCACCGCTGCTGAGGTAGACGAAGAGGAGGTCGAGGAAGATGCGCCGCTCGCCAGCAGTGACCTTATTGCCTGGGTAGCCTCACCAAGCATTTCACGAAGGTCCTGTTGCTGAGGTTCACCGTCTTTGGCTTGTGACTCATTCTTGGGGCTCGTAGGGGAGGACGTTGCAGGGCTTGGGTGTGGCTCTGGTTCCATCACTGCCGCCTTGGCCACCTTTTCATCACCACCATCTTCTCCAGCGCCCTTTCCCTTTCCTTTCGTCCCTTTCGGTGAAGCCTTCGCCTTCGGTTCCACCTTCGTAGGACACTGCTTGGAAAAGTGCCCTTTTCCACTGCAAAGATGACAACGATCCCTCTTGGCGACACCACCCCACTCATGCACAAACCGGCAACCAGCTCCATACTTGCAGCCCTCGTCCACCTTTGCAAACAGCTTGCACAAAGGTGACTTTGCTGTGGCCTTTGTCTTGACAGCGGTCGACGAAGAGGCAGGGTTGCTCGGGGTCTCCACGCTCTTGATCTTGGGGCTTGGTTTCGTAGTCACCGTTGAAGTCGCCAACAACTCCATCTCGGCTTGAAGGTGCCGATGATAGTCCAGCGTAGACGCCAAGGTAGGGTTCGCATCCAGCCCCAGCTTTGCCCTCATCAGCGAACTCCTGAGCCACACATCTTGATGGTCCCCCAACACCTTCGCCACGACGTTGTTCAGCCCTTTCACCATAAGGACAGGGTCCGGGACCGTCACCGTCAAATCCCTCGCTCGGGTCAGCCAGCGACTCCACCTCCTGAGGCTCTGCACCGCCTGCTCCGCACTCGTGGAAGGCTCGGGACTCGTCAATTGCTGGAGCAACAGTGTCTTCTCCGCCTCTCCTCCAGGACGATACATCGTCAGAAGCCGAAACACCAAGCACGAGGTCGAACCGGTCGCCTTCCTTGCGATCATCTCGGCCTTCACCTCCTGCGGGAGAGCGGCAAGCACCATGCCCGCTGCCCTCACATTGACTCGGGCGTACTTGCCTTCCTCGAGGTCCATCGAACGAGGGGGCTCCAACGTCAACTTCTCCATCGGGCCAGACGTCACCCATTCCTGGTATCGCTCTTCTGCCAAGCGCTTTGCCCTTGACCACCAGCTTGAACTTGAATCACTCAAGTCGCCCATGATACCTCCCACCTCCTCCAGCCAGTCTTGAATATCAACCGGACTCGAGTCCTTGCCTGGGGCCTCCAAGACCGGAAGCACAGAGATGCCAGGTTTGACCGCCTCCAGGCCCACATCCTTCCCAGCCATCTGCTTCAGCTGGGCCTCCTGCAACTGTCGCATTCCAACTGCTAGCGCCCCAAGCAACGTTTCAGCTGATGTGCCATCCCCTTTCGGAGACTCAGTCTGGGGTTGCTGACCCGGCCCTGAGGATCTCGCTCCTCCACAATCTTCAGGAACGCTCGCATGAGGAACACTGCCCTGCGATGTTGCTACCCAGGGCACCTGGTGAGGAGCTCGAGCTTGACTCTGAAAGGTACCAGGACCATACACTACAGGGGCATGGACAGGTTGTTGGTATACTTCAGGACCACGCACAAACGGACTTTGACCATGCTGTCGGAGGACTTCAGGGCCTTGTGCAACTGAGGCTTGAACTTGCCGTTGAGGGACTTCCGGGCCATGTGCAACTGAAGGTTGAACTTGCCGTTGAGGGACTTCGGGGCCATGTGCAACTGGAGCTTGAACATGCTGTTGAGGGAACTTGCCGTTGAGGGGGGCCATGTGCAACTGAGGCTTGACCATGCTGCTTGAGGGACTTCGGGGCCATGTGCAACTGAGGCTTGAACTTGCCGTTGAGGGACTTCCGGGCCATGTGCAACTGAGGCTTGGAGATGCTGTCGAGGGACTTCAGGGCCATGTGCAACTGAAGCTTGACCACGCTGTTGGGGAACTTCGGGGCCATGTGCAACTGAGGCTTGAACTTGCCGTTGAGGGACTTCCGGGCCATGTGCAACTGAGGCTTGGAGATGCTGTCGAGGGACTTCAGGGCCATGTGCAACTGAAGCTTGACCACGCTGTTGGGGAACTTCGGGGCCATGTGCAACTGAGGCTTGAACTTGCCGTTGAGGGACTTCCGGGCCATGTGCAACTGAGGCTTGGAGATGCTGTCGAGGGACTTCAGGGCCATGTGCAACTGAAGCTTGACCACGCTGTTGGGGAACTTCGGGGCCATGTGCAACTGGAGCTTGAACTTGCCTTTGCAATTGAGCCCTCAACCACCGAATCTCCTCCTGCTGCGATGCCATCACTTCGACGACCCCGTGCTATCACCTCCTTGCTGCTGTGCAGGCCCATATAGTAAAGGTGCTCTTCGAACACCGTCCCACAGCTGCTGCATCTCTTGAACTCCAAAAAGAGGCCCAGTCTCTCTTGCAGATGCACCGCTCTCCCCTGTCCACGACAAAGGCATTCTGAGCTCTTCGGGCGGTGACAACCCTTGTTGCTGAGGCTGCGGGTGGCTGCTGCTGTGTCCCGAACGCTGCTGGCTTGTAGGTGTCTGAACAGGTGTTGCTCTACTCCCTTGCATACCTTGCCCCGGAGTCAGACCTAAACCACCTAGCACCCTACCCTGAAACTCACCAGCAACGTCCGTCGTCGTCCTCAGCACCTCAGTAATCCGTGTCAGCCACCTCATCATCGTCGTTGGCGAAGAACCTCCAGCAGTGCGAGTTACTACGTGTCGTTCCGTTGTCCACTCCGCACCACTCATCTGACTTCCCCTTTCTCTGGCCTGAAATGCACCATCCGCTTGCACCAGGTGCAACTCTTGTTGCTGTTGAAAGTTCTGTGGCGTCTCAGCTACTCGGCCATCCACCATGGGTTCCAGCTGCACCAGCTCATGACCAATGGTCTGCCCCAGATCAGGCTGTCCACTTGACGCGTCCAACTGACGTCCTCCGTCAAGTGCCACAGTCTGATCCCCGCAAGACACACCATTGGGCAAGAGACCGATATCCACAGCACCATATGCAGGACCAGCCACTTCGCCATCCAAGATGCCACCCTGAACCCCGTTTGGGCTCATAACCTGTGGGACGGTACCCACAGGCTGAGCAGGGATGTCAGGGGATACAGGAGGTCTTCGACGATGCATGTCCATGGCTGCAAAGAGGCTCAATACGACCTTTTCACACACCAGCAAGATCTGAGTGAACATGTTTGTTTGTTCACTTGAAAGTCCAGCGTGAGCTTGCTGTAGCACTTCGGCTAACTCGCATGCCACATGTGTCTTTGGGCCTTCACGGCCATCCGTCTCCACACACAAGCCTTGTGCATCAGCAGACCGTGATCTTCAGTATCCTAAGTGGCCTTCACTCTATGCACGTGACTCTCTGCACTTCTCTCTATGTACTTAATTCTATGCACTTGACTCTCTGCACTTCACTCTATGCACTTGACTCTCTATGCACTTCGCTCTACGCACTTGAGTCTGCGCGTGACTGTATGGGTTGCGTTCAAAATTCGCGTGTCTGCTTAGCTGCTTTATTTTTTTTCTCGCCCTTTTCCGACTGCTACCACAGCGGGCGGTTCCGGTTTAGGGCCGCAGGGGCAGGCGGCTAGATGCGGCTAGGCCCTTCATTGGTGGCGAGGTCGAGCACGCGGTCCAGTGCAGGGCCGTCGCTCGGCCCAGGCAGTGGCGCAGCCGGCCACGCTCGGCCCAAGGCTGTGCTCGCCACGGCGAGCTGGACCGCAACGGAAAGGGCTCCCCACCAGCGTCTTGCCCAGCCGGAGGACGCCGCAGCGCGCACGGCAGGCGGCGCGCGTAGAGCGGGAGGTCGCGAACAAAGTGCTGCGCAGCTTGGCTCCAGCGGCCTCCTATCTCGGAGCCTAGGACCACTAGCTTCTGCGGGCCGCCCCTCGCGAGTTCGGGGTACGTACGGCGCTTGCGTCGCTCCGCCACCTGCAGCACGGCACCGTCCACCTCCACGGCGCATGGATGTGGATGACCCGTTCTGGTTAGAGGAGACACGAGTGTTGCGTCGCAGCACAGCGCTCCTCCGTTGGCGGTGGCCCCGTAGACGACGAGATCAAGGCGGCGGCGGTCGTCGGCAGGGACGCCTGCTGCAGTCGTATGGGCGAGCCACTGCTCTGGCACGACCTGACCTTCGGCGCGGACGGCCTCTCGCGCCACGCGGACCCACGCGCGCTTGACGACTTTAGCGCGTCCGGCCAACAAGCCTGTCCTCGGGCAAGCGAGGGCATGGTCGCCATAAAGGTCGACGACGCCACCACATCCCGGGTTGGGGCCGCAGTGTCCGGGGCAAAGAGGTAGAGGCAGCCGTAGGCGACGCCGCAGGGCAATTTGCATCGCTTGTGGCGGGATGCGGCTTGCTTCTTCGCACGGTATGGCGGTGAGCCATGCACCGGCATGCGGTCCCGCCTGAGAGCGAAGAAGTGCGCGCGAACAGGGCGGCAAGGAGGGCATAAACACGCGATCGCGAGAGTGCACGGTAAGGGTCCGCGATGCGTGGTACTGTTGGAAAAAAAAAAATCTTTTCTCCGACGCCGACTCGTGGTCTCAAGGCCGCACGGGCAGGCGGCTAGTTGCCGCTGGTTACGCCCGGCTCCAGGATTCGGTCCAGCGGCAGCGGCGTGAAGTCCGAGCCTGCCGAGATGCAGGGCGCCTGGCCAAGGGCAGTGGTGCCGACGGCCGCTTGCACAGCGACCGACAGCACGCTCCACCACCTTCTCGCCCCGCCCGCTGCCGCTGCTTGCCGAACTGTGGGGGGCGCCGGCACGCGCGCAAACGGATCAGACCTCTGACGAACCGCAATGCGCCTCCATTCCAGCGGCCTCCCACTTCGGCCCCGAGCACGACCAGCCTCTGCGGGCCGCCCCTTGCGAGTTCTGGGTAGGCTGCCCGCTTGCGTCTCTCCGCCACCCGAAGCGCCGCCCCATCGTTCTCCGCCGCGCAAGGCTGTGGTAGACCGGTGCGCGTCAGCGGGGAAACGAGGGTGGCATCGCAACTTAAGGCGAGACCCCGTGGGGTGGCGCCGTAGACGATGAGATCGGCGCCGATCGTCGGCTGGGACGCCAGGTGCCGTCGTGTGGACCAGCCACTGCTGCGGCACCACCTGCCCTTCGGGCCCCACAGCCTCCCGCGCTACCCGCACCCATGCCCTTTTCCACCACTAAAAAGCCCCGTGCGAGGGCACGCCAAAGCGTGGTCGCCATACGCGTCCACGCTTCCGCCGCAGGGAAGGCGCAAGCGCCTGCGCATGGCCACTGGCATGACGGGCGGGGACAACGTCGTGGCCGGCTCGCCCGGTATGGCCGTCAGCCACGCGCCAGCGTGCGGGCCGGACTGGGAGCGAAGCAGGGCTCGGCGGTCCGGCGTCAACGACGGCAGCATCACGCGGTCGCGGTAGTAAAAGTTGCTGGCCATTCGCCAAGTCCTGTATCCGCCTCCGCGTCCGGCCGCAGGCCCCTGGCAACTGTGGTCCAGCTTACTGCCAGCCATGCGGCCAGTCTTCCGCCTCAGGTGGGGCGGGGCGAGCGCCGTCGAGGAGCATGCTCCACGTGGGGCAGTTGCTCCAGCCTTGGTCCTGTAAGGTGCGACGCGCGTGCGCTGCCTCTGCAAGACAGTGCGCGTCGTCCCCGACCTCGTACTCAAGTAGTTGCACGTATCTGTCCGCGCACCACGGCAGGCGTGCGCGTATGGCGGGCGGCCCAGGAGGCCCAGTAAGCTGCAGGCGCCGTGGTCTCTGCTGACTGCAATCCAAGGCCGCCCAGCGCGCCTGGGAGGGCCGTGCCTGGGCCGCGTCTGCGTCGCCTGTTCCGCCGAGCATGTTCTGCAGCGTCGTCCAAACGGCATCGTCATGTCCCCGGGCGTACGCCGCAGACGCTGAGGGGGGCATGGTGCGGATGGCATGGCAAGCGCGAGGGGGCGCACACGGAGCGAGGCCTGCCTCTGCGGCGATGACCCGTATCATCCCCGGTTTGGGTGACCTGCAAGCTGCGTGGCTGCTCCTACACTTCTGCGCTGCGACTCGGGCCAACTTCCTCCTACGCATGTTGCCCCCCGTCTCTACGGCCGAGTTCGCCGAGGCCCATGACGCGGCAGTCACCCGCTGCCTCGGGCGACTCCTGTGTGGCGACGAAGGCGCTCCCATCCCCCCCGCGGCCTGGCGTGTGCTGCATTTGTCCCCGCGCTTCGGCGGCCTGGGCTTGCGTTCCGCTGCTGAGGCTGCCCAGAGCGCCTGGTGGGCGTCTTGGTTCGACTCGCTGCTCGCCATCCGCGTCCGCGCTCTGGACGTCGCGGAGCGCCTCGTGCAAGGGCTTGAGGCGCAGGGTGGTAGCGAGCCGCCTTCGCTTGTGTCCGCCCGCACTGCGGCAGCGCTCTTGCGCGCGCGGCTTCGAGGTGCCGCCGTGGGACTCCTTCTCGCCCGTCCCCCCGGGCGATGGCGAACGTGACGACCCCTTGCGGCAAAGGTGTGCGGCCATGGTGTGTGATGAGCGCGCGCTCGAAATGCACCTTTCGGACCTTGACACCGCATCTCGTGCGCTGCTGCTGTCGCAGGCCGGGCCGCACGCCGGGCGTGCCCTCACACAGTAAGGCCGACTGCCACGGAGCTCCTCATCCCGCCGGCCCAGTTCCGGGTACGCTGTCCTTCACGTTACTTTCCGTTGCGACAATTCCGCTGTTGACTCGGCCTCATGGAAAGGTCTTTCGCTTGCCCGAGGCCTCAGTTCGTTACTCCGCTCCTTTTTCCTGCTGCAGGACCGCCAGTTCATTTCCGCCCATGTCGATCACGTTCCGGGATTCCGCAACGATCTGGCTGATAGTCTCAGTCGTGGGTGTGACCCATCCCTCCTGGGCTTTTTGCCCGCCCAACGATCCGAGGTACCTTGGACGGCCTTTCCGCATACCCGCTCGAGAAGGATCTCTCTGGCTGCCTGGCTCCTGCTTGAAGAATGCTGGCCTGCTGTACCCCTGTCGGGTCGAGCTGAAGCCCGAAACCTTTGGAGAATCCGTCCAGCATTCTGTCTGTGGCCGGCCGACCTTCGGTCTCTCCGGGTATTGCGAATCCGCATCCGCGCATTCACCACCGAGTCAAAAGAAGTGAGCGTTCAGAGGGTCCTTCTTTTGGTTAGTCCTAGTACATTCGTAACGTATGTACTTGTACAGGGGTGTTCGCAACGGCATAGCATGTACGCCTGCGAGTCTGCCCG